GTTTCTTGCCCTTGAACCACTGCAAAGTATTTTATCCCAAAGTGGTAGCGCTTGCTTTGTCTGTATACACAGCCACACATGATTGTGAACTAGATCCTTTATTTCCTGCATTATTTTACAGGGAATAAATAAAAATAAATTATTTTCTGTGCTTAAACCTCATGTTTTATATCCATCTTCCTCTGAGCATTCAGAAAGAACTGAAAGACCTATTAAGCTGGACAAGCAGTCCAGCTTTCCTCTTAGCTCTTGCCTCACCAGTAGTCCTGTTCTTTGGCTAAAAAAAAGTATGATGAAGCATTTTCTCTTGACTGCAGTTCCACCTTATCTTGCAGTGACTCTTTCTGTAACCTTGAAGGCCTGTCTTTCACATATCTTGCATCTAGCTGAGCAATGGAGTCTACATATTGACTAGAGATATTATTTTGTTGCCAAGAACCTATATTTGAGGAGGAAACTGAGCACTAAATCATTCGTTATGTAAATGAGAAAAAGCCACAAAGATTAGATCCAAACTTCCCCGATTTCAGGGTTGCTTATATCCTCTGCAGTTCAGGTTTACTCTTTGGCATGTCATTTCACTCTTATTATGATTCCTTTTTTCCTGTCCTGCTCTCTCCACATCCTTCCCCTCTGTTTATGAAAAAAGGAGCTTGCAATTATGACAATTACACAGAGTTTCACTGCTTCATGCAGACACTTTCACCTCATGTCCCCTGTTACATTGTTTTAAGGCTATTGCTCAGAACTTAATAAGTTAACCCAACAACATTTGACAGATCTAAATCCATGTTGTTTTGTTGTTGTTGTTGTTTTTCTTCAGAAAGCAGAAGACATTAAATTTAGATTTTTCAGTATAAACTTTTTTAATGGGAGGGAGCTAAGGAGGTTCTGTTTTCTTCAAAATGGGATGTCTGCATGGAACAGATGGAACAGTTTGGCATTGCTTTATTGTAAAGAAAAAGAAGTACTTTGGTAACTTTGCTTGAAATATTTCTTCTTTTTTTTTTTTTTTTTTCAAAGATATCACCAGGTGTTTTGTTTTGTTTTGTTTTAACCAAAATGAACTTTATATGCATTGGTTACATAGCAGGGCCATGCCTGCACCAGTTTGTTAACATGCCCTCTGTGAATGTGCCATGGAAGTGCATCGTGCATCCACCAGCATCCAAATCAGCCTCCTTACTGTGCTGGGATGTCATCAAACTGAGAAAACATGCCCGTTCAAACCCAGATTGCCACATGCCATGACTGACCACTGAACCACACTTAACCAACGCAGAAATGAAAGCATGTTCCTCTGTGGTCATCATGAAGAAACTTCACCATGACAACTCCCCAAGCCAAAGGGACATAGAGACAAAAACAGCCCAAGCAAGCATTATTCTTCAGTACTATTTAATTAGTAGCAAAATCGCAGAGAATCAGACTGCACAGGGACAGGATAATGAGATAATTGGGGAAATAAAATATTTGTCATGTAATAGAAGACTAGGAAAATAAGAGTTGTATGACCTAGGAAAACTCAGGCTGATAATCAGTGTGAGGGAGGAAAGAAAATATTTAGAGTGAAGTTGGCAGAAAAACTTACAAATATAACCCAGGCAGAAAGAAATATGATGCTGGAAGCTAGAAGGAAGTCTCACCAAGGATTTCTAAATGCAGGAACAGCTTCCAGTATGAATGGTGAGGACCAAAAACCCCACTATTTTTAAGATGGAGCTATTTCAGTTCATGACACAGACTGCAAGAGTTGGTTACCTGTGATAGCAGGGCTCTAAACTCAGACAGCCACAAAACCCCTGGTACTCCTGTATTAAAGGCAGCCAAACTAAACTGGGAGCTAAGATGGATTGTTAACATTCATGCTCTGTCTAAGAAAGCCAAGAAATACTGTTTACAGCTGTGTGAGAAATAGAAGTTTACAGCATTTATGGGCAGACAGACTTTAATCCTGAAGGGGCCATAATCAGGGCTGTGTGAGTAATCCACTGGAGGTCAAATCAAAACAAAAGTTGCAAAAATATTTGGTTCAGATCTATATCCTTACCCTGGCATGCAATAAGTTTGGATTTCTCAGTTGTCAGAAGAGTACCCTAACCACTAGGCTGGCTGGATATTTTGGGTAGGGGCATGATGGTCTCTCTTGCTCTAAAATGGTGCTCCAAGTTTATGGTTTAAGATACTAGAACGGGATATGACTCACCATACACCATCCTTGCTTAAAGGATTTTTCTGAATTAACAATGACATAAAGCAGAATGATCTCGATGGGGAGATTCAATACAGGCCATGCCAGGATGTCATAAAGCATGGTAGTTAGTCTCATATGCAAAGCCCTTGTGCAGTAAGTTCTACCAATTGTATCTTCTGAGCAATTGTTCCAGTTGATAAGCTCTGGAAGATGTGCAGGATAATTAAAATCATGACACTGTTACTCCAGTTTGACAAATCTAGCCCCTCCCCGGCTTTCTGTTCTATACAAAGGTGGCAAAGACCAACAAGTGAATTATTTTAAGGTAACCAAAGTAACATTTAATAAAGCTAATTAAATGATCTCTCAAAAATATTTCCCCTGGGGAAATTGAATAATAATGGGAAGGGAAAATAAAATGGTCAAAAACAATAAAGCCACAAGTGAGTATGTAAACAGTTCTTGATGACTCGATTAATTGTAATTACTATGTTTAAATCACTTTGTTCCAAAACAGAAAAGACACTTGAAAAGATTCGGACTAAGAAAAGGTAATGACTTTTCAGCTCAAAGGCTATTCTAATGCTGGATAGTATTCTAAAAGAAATATTACTACAGATAAAAGTTTGTGAAAATGTTTGTTTCACAAACCTTAAAAGGGATTGTGAAAATGTTACACTAGCAGCACAAACACACGCACTGTTATTGAAGTGGGAAAGGCAGGAGAATATACAAGGAGTGCAGAATAGCATGTAATAAGTTCAGCCACTGCCCTCTACTGAGTTACTTCCTAGTCCTTGCTTAGGATTTCCCCAAACTTATGCTTTCTGCAGTAGTTGTGTTTCACAGAGAAAATGTTTCTCTGCCCAGGAGCAAGACTGGGGTGGGGTGGGGGGGGAGAGGATTACAAACATGAATCAGATTGTTATATCTCCTCCCACTTATCCCAAGGATGAAAAAAACAAAGACTTTTAAAAATAAAAGTCATTTTAAAAAATCTTTGCTGAATTTTACTCCCACAAGTGTGCATTGGGAGACTGTAGACAAACTTCTGTCAAAGCCTTTTTGTTGCCACACCACATATCCCAAAATAGTTCCCTCTAGCAGATGCAGGCCTATTGGATCTGCCGAGCAGGATGGCAAAGAAGGCTTGCCATTTTCATTGGGTAGAAAAGGTACTAAGTTTCCTTCAGTAAAGACTTACATGTGATGGAGAAAGCTAAGAATGATCCTTAATTCTTCTTGCTACACAAGAAATCATAATGAATGCAAATCTCAGAAGACTTCTAGACATGCAAAAGAACTTCTTCACGGTGAGGGTGACGGAGCACTGGGACAGGCTGCCCAGGGAGGTTGTGGAGTCTCCTTCTCTGGAGATATTCAAGGCCTGTCTGGACGCCTACCTGGGCAGCCTGCTCTGAGGAACCTGCTTTGGCAGGGGGGTTGGACCCGATGATCTTTCAAGGTCACTTCCAACCCCTACAGTTCTGTGATTCTGTGATTCTGTGATATTGTCCGAACAGTCAGAGGCTACAACATAGTTGTACAACTCGTGTTGTGGTTGTACAACTCGTGTTGTGGCTGAGTGCCACACAGCCACTTGCTCACTCCTCTGTCCTGACCCCCAAGGGATGGGGAAGGGAATTAGAAAGGCAAAATTTAGAAAACTTGTGGGTTGAGGTAAAGATAGTGGAAAGGCAGTGGAAAAGTATGGGAAAGTGAGGAGAGGTGAGGAGCAGAGAGGAAAGACGAAGTGAATGATGCACAATGCAATTGCTCAGCACCATGCCCAGGCAGTCCCAAAGCAGCAGCAATACCCCACAGGCAACACCCCCAATTTTTATTGTTGAGCATGATGCTGTATGACATGGGACATCCCTTTGGCTAGCCTGAGCCAGCTGTCCTGGCTGTGTCCTCTCCCAGCTCCTGGTGCAGCCCCAGCCTCCTCACTGGCAGGTGGAGAAGCAGCAGGTTCATCCCTGAAGTTATGTTAGCATTGCTCAGCAACAATCCAACCATCGGTGCATTATCAACAATATTTTCATGACATATCCAAAACACAGCACCGTATGATCTCCTGTGAAGATAATTAACTCTGTCCCAACCAAACCAGGACAGTAAGAGATGCTTAAAAGTTATCTAGACAGACAAAGATCTTGTTTCCGATTCAAAAGGCAATCCTTAAGACTCTGCTTATATACACAGCTCAGATGATTTCTGTCTGTTGAATGCAGTGTTCATAGCACAGGTCTGAAATGTGCCAGGGAAGACATCCTCCAGTTATCCCAGAAACAAACCAGTAGCACTAACTGCGATGATGTTGCAAAAAGAAGTCGCCTGTCTCATCAGGTCATACTGCCTCAATTCTTATAAACATTTTATCTAACATAACAGGACGAACTCTGCATTCAGACTTAGGGAGATCTAACATCACAGCACTAAGAGTGGTGAGACCCCGGACCTGCTCTTGCACAAGCAGAATTTGGTCCACGCTTGTTTTAACAAAATCAATTTAGTTTCCTCCTTTATCTTCTCTTCCAAATAAACTTCACCCAAATATACAAATTGCTGGTTCTTGTGCACTCTGCATTGACTGCCTAGTTTATTTAGCAATATCAGTGTTTCATCTGTATTTACATTTTTTATACCTCCAAGGAAGACCTCTTTTGAAGGTATATCAGCTAATGTGTTGGGGTGAATATTGTTATTTTCATTAAGAGAAGGCAGAACTGTTTGAAAAATTAGCTGTTTCACAGTGCAACTTGAACTCACACAGCATGAAACAGTGTGTTGTGGGAACCTTTCCTATCACAGCAAATTTCACCCAGGGGGTGTGGCTGAAGACTGGGTGGGATTTTTTTCAAAGACCATATCAAAACTGCTTTTTGAATTCAGATACTGATGTATTTCTCTGGCAAAAAGCACTGCAACAACCAGTCAAATATTTTGCAGACTTGCAGGTTTGCTTATCGGATACAGAGTTATTCAAGAAGTTACTTGTGAAAAATAGTGTAGCTCTATTTTAGATCCAGAGGAAAGATATGGGACTTCAGCATGCAGAAATAGGCCAAAAATGAACTTGTATTTGTTACAATATTGAATTTGTTGCAGTATGCATGAAACAGAGCAACTGTAGTCAACCGAAACTAAACTTTTTATTGGAGAACAGAAAGCTAATTTACAGCAAAAATACACATACTCAACCAGATGAAAATGAAGACCTCAACAGCTTGTACTTCAGAGAAGGTAAGACTCAATACAAATGAAATATTCCTTTGCTGGTGCAATATTTCTGCAGCCTACATTCTGCTTCAGCTGCCTGCTGGATTCTGAGTGTGCTTGAATGGGGTCGCCCATCCCATATAACCTAAGCTGGTTTAGGATGTATTTAGAACTCCGAACAAGCAAGATTTCAGACCCCTTCTTTTTCATTAGGATCCATAGGCACTGGTTGCAAAAATGTACTCACAGGCTCACAGCCTGCCCCATTCTCCCTTTGATGTGCAAGGGTAGAAGAGAGTTTCACAGGTATAAAGCAGGATGAGGAGGCCAGCAGCGTGTTCCTGACTGTGCTTCCGTGTCTTGGGAAATTCTTTTTCCTTTGAAGTGTAACAGTTAACAGCTGAAGTTGGACAGAGTGCAGGGAAGGATTCTGTGGGGTTTTCTATTAATTCACATGATGTAATCCAGGCTAAATGGGAGAAGTTAAGATTGCTTTCAGGGGAGACCAAGAGCCTGCGTTGTCTTTTACAGCAGAACTTAAATAAGCAAATGACAAGTGAGGAAAAGCACTGAGAGAAATCCAGTACCACATCTAGGGTAAGGTATAAGTCTAGGTCTGAGAAGCCATTTAAGCCACAAATGGAACAAAGTTGGTGTTCTCTTCTAGTCCTTGCTGCACTTTTGAGCATATCACAGGAGACAGTGTAATTTATCCTGGTCTGAATAACAGGAAAATTTAGGGTATTTACAATTCTTAGACAAGTCCATGGCAGTAAAGGAGCTGAAATATTAAGCACATGAAAAAGTGTTCCTGTGCAAAGTTTACCTTAAAAGTAATAGTTCAGCTTTTGTTTTACATTAAAAGGTCACTATGGCAACTGGATACCTGATCTTTAATCAAAAATAGGTTCTTATTCCTATGACAAATTACAGTTTTTGAGATTCTTTCATCTATTTTGATTGACAATGTATTTTCTATACTTCTTACAGTTGATTTTTTTTTCTTTAAGTGGAAGTAACATCCACACTGAGACCTAGAGATCCAGAAACACTCACATGGACTTGCTTTATTGCATTTCTTTCCCTACAGTATGTTCTTCCCTAATTCTATGCATGCTGAACTAAGTTTCCTGCTGTTTCACTGACTTACATGGTTTTCATCTGGGATAGGTTACTTCAAATGTGATTATCCTGATCACTTCAAATCAAGGTACATAGTTCAAGTCGCATTCTCTATCTCTTGACCTCTAGTTTGCTCTGAGTCTGTAACTCTGCAAAGCCCTATCAAAACCTTCTTCACGTATGACTTGCATTTACATCTTTTTCACTTTTTCCTTACTGTTCATAAATTATTACTATCCTCTCTCTGTTCTTTCTGAGAAGTGTTGTCAAGGCTGATATTTGGATCAGTCAGATAAGAAGGGCTTTGACCCTGCATGCACAAACTGTATCTGCCACCCCTCAACATTTTCAAACTTACTCCCAAGCCCAAGCAACCTAATTACCAGGAAATCCCCTGTAACACCCAGCAGAATTCCATTTCTATTTTATGAATGTGCCCTTCAAAAATCTGATAAGATATAGCTTATATCTGATAAGATATAAGATATGCATTAGTCACATGCTCCCACTGTAGACTAGACTCATGCCTATAATTCTCTCTTTAAGATGATTCATTTTAAAAAATTTTAAATTTTTTGTTGCTATTTAATACTCAACCTGAAATATGCCATAGTGGCCAAGATAAGTTAATAATTTGCCTATCACCAGGTAGGTTTGAATCCAGACTCTGCTTGCAGCTATCTGAGTACAGAAGGGAAATTTCCCACAGTAGTGAAATTTTCTGAAAATTTCCCTTTACTGATTTAGCAGCAAGAGCTATTGTGCTTCTGGAGTGCCCAGAGTTATATGTTCTCTGATCAGACTTCATGGATGTGGACCTGACTTATAGCTATAGTGACTTTTGTCTACATTAGGGCTCCCCATTTTGCTACCAACAATGCAGATACAGCACCTCTGCAGTGGTGAATTTATTTTAAATGGAAAAAGAAGGCAGAAAGAGAAGACAGGAAGGGTCTGCTGCTGCTATTATTTCTACAGTGTCTAATCATACATTTTAGAGTAAGTCAAATACTTTGCCTTGCTTTTCTGCACATTGACATTTAGCATAGATTTTCAAAGAAGCTTAAGCTTAACCGGGTTTACATTGCTGATATCTTAGACACCTTTAACAATCTCATTGTGATATCTTAGACACCTTTAACAATCTCATTATGACTTGTACACACCAAGAGGGAAAGCTTCTGTTTTTCATATAGGTGAAATTAGAATTTCCTAAATATATTTAATAACTTGGAGCCCAAATGTCCATCACGTTGTCATTTACAAGTGGGTTAGATGTATCCAGCCAGCAAAAGTGTAGGTAGTGGAATGGATAGGAAAACTGAAGAGGCTGTATGAAAAATAGACTAAAGATAGTGTAACATTGGTGATAATCATTATGCTTCTTTTCAGAGAAGATGAAGAACTCTCTGCTTGCAGCTATCTTTTTACTTGCAACAGGTGAGTTTTCGTTTGATGCATGACATGACGTTTGATGCTACTCTTTATTAATACTAAAAATTCTTAACACTATTCAAAGGCAAGGATATATGACCAAAGTCATGACTGAATTAAGTTTGGGTAGGAGAAACTGCACTCAGCAACAGTTTATTTATTTTATTATGTATTTTATTTTATTTTATTTTATTTTATTTTATTTTATTTTATTTTATTTTATTTTATTTTATTTTATTTTATTTTATTTTATTTTATTTTACTTCAGTTAAATGCATTCTTTTTTATTCCCTAGATTCCTGTAACTGCTTAAACTTGGATTTTCCATTGTGCAAGCAGCTTCCAGGTGGGTAAATATAATTCACATAATATCTAGTTAATTGTAAAAATGAACAGTCAGATTTCCTGGCAACATTTTAGATTTCAGCTAGAAATCTGCCAGCTGAAGTGATTTGGATTTTAAATATTGACATAGAGTTGTTTGGCTGAAATCCAGCATGTAGAAACTGTGAATTTCTAACCCTTTCCTAAGGCCCAGATACTTATTACAGGGCTGCAGGCGCAGGGTCTGTCTCTATTTCTTGTTTCTAGGGGCCTCCTAGTGGCCTAATCAAATGACAATAGAATATGTGATGTTTATATTGACAAAAGTTTATGGTTTAGATTTAACTAATACATTGCAGTTAATGGTAAAAAAAGAGAAGCCAAACACTTACCAATAGATATCAATTTCACAGCAGCTGGTGGTCATGCTGGATTTATTGTAGGCAGAAAAAATCCTACATGCTAGGATTTTTGTGGCTTGGAGCCACAGCAGGGAAGACAGTCTTTTAGTACATAGTGGCACTGGATGAGACAACACCAATATGACTGCATTTTTCTGAAATTAGCCATGCACAATTACCTAGATCTTGCTATTACTCTATTGGACTAAAGCATTACTGAGAATACCAGAAAAAATGTGAAGAAAAACAATGCATACAGAAGTGCAAAAATTGAGCCTTGTTTGTTTTAAAGAGGAAACTGGATTGTGACTTTTTGGTACAGGGGAAATTTTTCCTTTGTTTGCACATCTCAGAGTGCAGTCTTGGCACAGGGCTAATATTCTAAGGTGCAGAAGAACTAATAATACATACGTTCTTTTAAAGGAAGCAGTACAGTAAAACCAAAATGGAATGGGATAAAAACAGTATGCACATGTGTACCTACAAATATAGGAAAAGTGGACAAGTGAAAAAAACATGGGTAACATAACATGTTCAGCTGAAGAACGTGATATAGGACTTTACAGGACTTTATGGGACTTTATAGGACTTTTTTAGTATATCAGCCAGGGCAGTGAGGGTGGAGTATGTTAATACACTGTTTCCACACATAGAAGCTACTATTTTTGCCTTGTGTGTTTTTAAACTGTCTCATAGAGAAAGACAATTTATAAAGAAAGACTGTTTTTTTTGTTGTTGTTGTTTTTTTGGTAAGACCAAGAGCATGAAGAACAATACAAGTCCCTATGCTTCTGTAAGGAGAAACAGGTCTGCAGCACTGTGGTCACCACGTGGGTCTCAGTTAACAGAAATGGTTTGGGGAAGAAGTTAATAGGAATTCATCAGAAGGGGGAAATAATTCCATTTGATTTCACCTCTCCAGAACTGTTATTTCACAGTTTCGGGAGCAGTATGTTACAAACATACTGATGTGAAGTGTTACAGCAGTTCCAAAAAGGTGTTTTTTTTGTTTGTTTTTTTGTTTGTTTGTTTGTTTGTTTTGTTTTGTTTTGTTTTGTTTTTTTTGTTTTGTTTTTTTTTTTCTAGTTCTTAATTTAAAAGAAAAGAAGAATTACCAAGTCAATGAAAGGCTCAATGTAGAGTAAAAGAGAAGAATAATGTGAGAGCAGTTGCTACTTTCTCCAGTTCTTAGAGCACCATATCAAGAGTGCAGGTGGCCAAAGTTTGGTTTGGTGATTGAACTAGGAAAGCAAAGAACTAAGTAATTATTCACATTTGCTGTAGAAACAAGGAAGATCTGATCTCTACCTTCCCAAAAGGAAGCTGCACACACCTAGACTGATGCAGCAGACTTTCATTAGAAATGCATATTTGTTTTGGTAGGACAAAGAAGGTGTCATGGGTTGGAGGTTATAAGTCTGAGCCATAGTGACACGCTTTTGGTCCAAACCAACTGTTAATTTAACTATACAGCTGCCATCCAAGTGGTGATAGACATACCAAGGACACTGTAATTCAGGTTATAGGAAGAAATCAGTCTGAATGAGGAAAAGAGGAGGACTGCTCTTTTACTGCATAATTTCACAAGGGTGTTCTGGGGAAACAAGCAGGAGGAGCTGGAAATGGTGCAATTAGAAAAATATGACCTGACTGCTATAACTGAAACGTGGTGGGATAGATCACATAACTGGAACACTGGAATAGAGGGGGCTCTCTTCTTCTCAGAAGAGGTAGGCAGGGAAGGAGGGGTTGGGGTGTTGCCCTTTATGTTAGGTAAGGGATTGATTGTGAAGAGATGCCTCTGAGAAACAGCCATGGATAGGTTGAGAGTTTGTGGGCAAAAGTTAAGGACCACACCAAAAGAAAGTACAGCTTGTGGATGGTGTCTACTACAGACTGTCTGGTTAAGGAGAACCTGTGGATGAGGTTCTAGTAGCTTCAGCTACTAGATGCATCATGTTTACACTCACCCTGATGGGAGACTTCAACCACTTGGATGTCTGCTGGGGAAGCAGCACAGCAGGCTGTGAGCAATCCTGAACCCTCACAGAGTGCACTGAAAACAAATTCCTCATCCAGGTACTAGATGAACCAACCAGAGAAGCATTACTGAACCTGCTGCTCACCAATGCAGACAAACTATTTAAAGAAGTTAAGATTGGAGGCAGGCAGGGATGTAGTGACCATGCCCTGGTCAGGTTTGTGATCTCGAGAAATATGGGCCTAGCAAAGAGCAAAGTCAGGACCCTGAATTTCCAAGTGAACTTCCAGCTTTTTACAGGCCTAGTGGATGAGATCCCCTGGAACACCATCTGTAGGGACAAAGGAGCTGAACAGAGCTGGCATCTCTTTAAGGATGTTTTTCTTAGAGTATAAGATCTCTCCCTGTCTAAGAAAGCAAGCAGGAAGGGCAGAAAACTGGGATCCCATTTTTAAAAAGGGTAGAAAGGAAGACCTGGGGAACTACAGAGTCTCTACTCTGTGCCTGGGAAAATCATGGAACAGATCCTCCTAGAAGCAATGTCAGGGCATATGCAGGACAAGGAGGTGATCTGAGAAAGCCAGCATGGCTCACCAAAGGTAAATTGTGCCTGACCAATCTTGTGGCCTTCTGTGGTAGAGTGACTATATCAGTTGACAAGGGAAGACCGACCGATGTCAGGTACCTGGACTTCTGCAAGCCCTTTGACCTGGTCCTATGTGACAACCTGATCTCTATATTGGAGAGAGGTGGATTTGAAGGGTAGACCATTCAGTGGAAAGGAATTGTCTTGAAAGTCACACTCAGAGTGTGGTGGTCAATGGCTCTATGTCCAAGTGGAGCATGGTGAAGAGTGGAGTCCCTCAGGAGTCTGTCCTGAGACTGGTACTGTTTAAGATCTTTATCAACAACATGGACAGTGGGATTGAGTGCACCCTCAGCAAGTTTGCAGATGACACCAAGTTGTATGGTGCAGCTGACAACATCAGAAGGAAGGGATGCCATCCAAAAGGACCTGGACAAGCTGGAGAAATGTGCCCATGTAAACCACATGAGGTTCAACAAGTGCAAATTCAAGGTGCTGCACCTGGTTTGGGGCAATCCCAGACATGAGCACAGATTGGGAGAACTCATTGAAAGCAGCCCTGCAGAGAAGGATCTGGGGATTTTGGTGGACAAAAAGCTCAACATGAGCCAGTAGTGCACATCTGCAGCCCAGAAGGCCAACTGCATCCTGCATTTTCAGAGGATTGTGCTTAGTGGTGCAGAGTCTAGTTGGAGGCCTGTAGCTAGCGGTGTCCCTCTGGGGTCAGTACTGGCTCCAGTGTTGTTCACTTTATTCATCAACAACCTGGATGGTGGAACAGAGTGCACCCTCACAAGTTTGATGACACAAAGCTGGGAGGAGTGGCTGATACCCCAGAGGGCTGTGCTGCCATTCAGAGGGACCTCGACAGTCTGGAGGGTAGAACCAAGAGGAACCTTATGTAATTCAACATGGGCAAGTGCAGGGTCCTGCACCTAGGGAGGAATAACCCTAAGCACCAGCACAGGCTGGGGGCTGACCTGCTGGAGAGCAGCTCTGCAGAGAGGGACCTGGGAGTCCTGGTGGACAGCAGGCTGACCATGAGCCAGCATTGTGCCCTTGGGGCTAAGAAGGCCAATGGTATCCTGGGCTGCATTCAAAACAGTGTTGCCAGCAGGTCAAGGGAGGTGATCCTCCCCCTTTCCTCAGCCCTGGTGAGACCACACCTGGAGTGCTGTGTCCAGCTCTGGGCTGCCCAGCACAAGAAGGACATGGAGCTACTGGAGTGAGTCCACAGGAGGGCTACGAAGATGATGAGAGGACTGGAGCAGCTGTTGTATGAGGACAGGCTGAGAGAGCTGGGTCTGTTTAGCCTGGAAAAGAGAAGACTGAGGGGAGACCTCATTAATGTGTATAAATATCTGAGGGGAGGGTGCCAAGAGGATGGAAGCAGTCTCTTTTCAGTTGTGCCCAGCGACAGGACGAGAGGCAACAGGTACAAACTGAAGGACAGGAGGTTCCAGCTGAATATGAGAGGGCATTTCTGTACTGTGAGAGTGACAGAGCACTGGCACAGGTTGCCCAGAGAGGTTGTAGAGTCTCCTTCTCTGGAGATACTCAAAACCTGCCTGGATGCCATCCTGCACAATGTGCTCTAGGTGATTCTGCTTGGCAGAGGCACTGGATTAGATGATCTTCAGAGGTCCCTTCCAACCTTGGTCATTCTGTGATTCTGTGGTCTTGGGCTACATCAACAGATGAGTGGCCAGCAGGTTGAGGGAGGTGATTCTGCACTTCTGCTCTTGTGAGGTCCCACTTGGAGTGCTGTATCCAGGTCTGGGGCCCCCAGCACAAGAAAGATGTGGATCTGTTAGAGTGGGTCCAGAGGAGGGCCACAAGGATGATTTCTCTCCTATGAGAAAGGCTGAGAGAGTTGGGACTCTGTCAGCCTGAAGAAGAGAAGGTCTGGAGTGACTTCATAGCAGTTTTAAAATACTTAAAGGGGGCTTATAAAAAAGGTGGAAAGCAAATTTTGTTTGCGCAGACAATGACAGGATAAAGGGGAACAGTTTTAAACTACAAGAGGAGAGAGTTAGATTAGATGTTAGGAGGAAATTCTTCACTCTGAGGGTGGTGAGGCCCTGGCACAGGCTGCCCAGAGAAGCTGTGGATGCCCCATCCCTGGAAGTGCTCAAGGCCAGGCTGGATGGGGCTTTGGGCAACCTGGTCTGGTGGGAAGTGTCCCTGCCCATGGTAGGGGCTTGTAACCAGATGGTCTTTAAGATCCCTTCCAACCCAACTAATTTTATGATTCTATGAACCTGGGTAAATCTCTGAACCACAACCATCCTGTATTACCAACTCCAAAGAGACACATATTTACTTATCAAATAGCGAACCTTTATTGTTGAAGTAATAGGTCTACTGGTATCTTATTAAATCTCTTAGATATAAGGAAAACGTAGTTCTACTTATTAGGAAAAAAAAAAAAATCATTATAATGTTAAATATCCTGTACATTTTGAGATCCTTATCTACTTTTCTGAAGAGAAGAAAAAACAACACATTTTATTTCTGTATCTTTTTAAAAAAGTGTGGGTGGTAATTTGAGACACAAGGGCTGATTCTTCTGAACTAGTAGTTCAGATGGTAAGAGACAAAGCAAAAGGAGAAGAGTCAGATTTTATGATTAAAGTTTCTGACAAGAGATTTCTGAAATACTGAAATTAGCTTTACCACCAGAAACTAAAAGATGAGATCCTTTAAGAACATCATCAGCTGTTAATTTCTCTTTGGGTCAAAAAAAAAAAAAAAAAAGTCCAAAAATTAAACCCAAGTTGCTTTGTATATAAATGCATGCTTCTGCTTTGTAATGTGATCTTTCTGAATCTGGTAGTATACGATACTCTGTTCTCCAGCAATTATTCTGAACTCTGGATCTCCAGATAGAGATGACTGATAGTTTTAGAGTAATTCTGGAGTCTAGTCAATCTGTGCTGTTGTTGATAATTACTCCTGTGCTATGGTGATATAATGCTTTGCAAGAAACTCCCCAGTAATTCTTTCAGTTTGGAAACTGTGGAAATATCACATTTGCCCTCAGTAATAATCACCAAAAGGAAGCCACTCTCGCCCCCTGACTCCTTAAAATTAATTATGCAAGATGTTTCACAGGGATGTGTGAGACCTACAAGATCCTCTGTTCTGGCCTATGCTTTCCAAAATGTCTGCAAAATCCTGTTCAGCTGTCAATAATCTGCTCCAAGCAAAATTGTTGCCAGCTCCACTTTGTAATTCTGCTGAAGAACTGTGCCTCCCCTCCATGCAAGTCCAATGCTCTGTGTTCTGCAAGATTTCCAAGCCATAGTGACTCCTCTGGGGGATGTGTTTTGCACCATGGGTCTGGAGTGAACCACCAGAAGCCACTGCCTTGCACATATTCCAGCAAACACTTGAGCGGTGGCACACAGCTGCTACTCTGAGCATTTGCAGAGACAGTGAGAACACAAAAGGCACTAACTGCCAGATCAGGAAGGTGTGAAACCAGAGCAGAGCAGAGATGGGAGATAAAAATCTAAGGTCTGTTAGCAGAAAGGTGCTAACAGTTTTGTCATCTGCTATAGGGAAATTAACTTGCAATAACTTTCCTCAAAGTTAGTAAAACAAATTGTCTGCAGCTGGAAGTGCTTCCTTGTACATGTATGCATGGAATTAGTTCTGCCAGAGAGTGCTTCCAGTAGTGTAAAGTATATATTCCAGTCAGAATTGAAAACAACAACAACAACCACAACAAACAGTTTAACCAGTTTAAGCTTTAAATAAGTGCAGAGGCAAACTGCAAGCAAGATGTCAGTGTTGTAGGAGAGAAACACAGTTCAAAGGTGTAAAAACACCGAAGCCACAAGAAAAACCATGGCAAGCATTTCAGTACTACATTATTTGGTATGTAACAGCTGGTAAAGGGAATGCAAAACATTGGTACAATTCTCTATTTTTATTGTCATGTGGGAAAACTAGTTTTTCCTTGGAAACAGTGCAACTCATAATGTTTAATCTCTCTAAACGCTTCTGTCCCTTGTTCTGAACATTAGTGAGCTGCTTGCCTTGAGAATAAACATGACATAAAGGATCACACTGCTGGTACTTATTTCATTTCACAAAGAATATAACGGGTTTTATTATTTTTTTTTCTTTTGATTCTCCTAGCCATCTTGTACTTTTTGATGGTAAATAGTTGCTTGGATGAGTGTTTTCCAATCCGCATGTTTTCATTTTGCAGACTGGGACAATGAATTGATGTGCTACAAAGAAATAAGTGAGGATCTAACCTGTACCTGGTTGCCACCACCCAGTGCTCCAAATACTGTTAATTACACCTTATTCTTAAAATGGTAAGTCTAAAAGTCAGAAAATGAAAAGCTCTTATCACTGTTTGGCATTACTCTTACCTGCCTGAGATTTGTTCTGATGCATTTCACAGAATCACAGAATCATCTAGGTTGCAAGAGACCTCCTAGATCACCGAGTCCAACCTCTAACCAGTCCTCCACTAAACCATGTCACTAAGCTCTACATCTAAATGTCTTTTAAAGACTTCCAGGGATGGTGACCCCACCACTTCCCTGGGCAGCCCATTCCAATGCCTCACAACCCTTTCAGTAAAGAAGTTCTTCCTAACATCTAACCTAAAACTCCCCTGGCACAACTTTAGCCCATTCCCCCTCGTCCTGTCACCAGGCACGTGGGAAAACAGACCAATCCCCACCTCGCTACAGCCTCCTTTAAGCTACCTGTAGAGAGCAATAAGGTTGCCCCTGAGTCTCCTTTTCTCCAGGCTGAACAATCCCAGCTCCCTCAGCTGCTCCTCATAGGACTTGCTCTCCACACCCCTCACCAGCTTGGTCGCCCTTCTCTGGACTCTCTAGAGTACCTCCATGTCCTTCTTGTAGCAAGGGGCCCAAAACTGAACAGAGTACTCGAGGTGCAGCCTCACCAGAGCCGAGTACAGGGGGACGATCGCCTCCCTAGCCCTGCTGGCCACACTGCTTCTTATGCAAGCCAGGATGCTGTTGGCCTTCTTGGCCACCTGAGCACACTGCTGGCTCATATTCAGCTGACTGTCCACCATCACTCCCAGGTCCTTCTCTGCCTGGCAGCTCTCCAACCACTCATCTCCCAGCCTGTAGTTCTGCTTGGGGTTATTGTGCCCCAGGTGCAGGACCCGGCACTTGGCCTTGTTGAACTTCATGCAGTTGACCTCAGCCCATCGGTGCAGCCTATCCAGATCCTCCTGCAGAGCCTTCCTACCCTCAAGCAAATCGACACACGCACCTAACTTGATGTCATCTGCAAACTTACTGAGGGTGCACTCGATCCCCTCATCCAGATCATTGAAAAAGATATTAAAGAGAACTGACCCCAGTACCAAGCCCTAGGAGACGCCACTAGTGACTGGCCTCCAACTGGATTTGACTCCATTCCATTTTAAGTTGTTATATAATACTGGTCAAAATCTTTCCTCACACCTCATATTGATTTGGTAAGAGCTGCACTTTCCAAACTGTGAGGAGGTTGACATTGGCAAGCAGACACGGTGCCAAGTAGAAGCTTAGATTAGTTTAATTGTCAATGCAGAAAGAGCTAGAACCTCGGCTTGAACGGAAAATATATACAGAAAAATCTGAAATAGGTGCATAGATTCAGCAATTGCTCTGTCCGATCTGAGGAAGAGTGATTTACCACTTCCTAATTTCATGAAAGGTGACTGGCAAAGCTACTCCGAATCAGACTGGGAGGACCTCTGTAGCAACTGTGCTTACCTGTCTCTTTCACCGATTCACTGAATTTTGGTCAAGACTAGACCCTTATCTTCCCTCCCTGTATTAAAGAAAAGATAACAGGGCAACTTTGTAAGTCAGTAGCTCTGTTGCAGAGAAATGAAACAAGCTCTGAATACTAGTAATTTTCTTCACTGTCCACTGAAAACAGGTCTTGCAAGAACCCTCTTCCCACCCAGTAAATCATATTTATCTGAGAAGCAATTATTTCTTCTTTCTATAGTTTGCTTGTCATTAGACATCTTTTCATGCTTCCAACATGTCTGCTTGGAAAACTATTTCCACAGATCACATTAATTGTTTCTATTTTTGTCTATTGATTTGCACTGAATACACTAAAACACACATTGTACGTTATATATTATGTTAAGCCACATATCGAATGAGATATTGATGATTTTGAAGTATTTTACTGCAATTTTGAATTATCAAGTTTAATAGCTGGAATTAACTTGTAGGTGTTAATCTCATAATATGGGTATCTTCAGTTTTCATGCTCTGTTTTTTGAGGAAGTTAAAACAAAAAACTCATGTTAAATGTAGACAGGCAGATTAAATCAACATCTGCGCTGTGCTTTTTTAAAAAGAACAAAGCAGGTTGCTGTCTCAGTACCTTCACGACAAAAGGGATTTTCCTCATTTTATATTTACATATTTGGGATCTCCCACGAGATTAAGGGCATGTTTAGAAAGAGAACTGAGATCAGAAGGCACAATCTGTGCCATGAGGCCATGTTGTGGGGTGCACAGGTTACAATACTGTATGCTGTTGGCAAATTCTGATACTTATAGCTGATTATGTTACCACATAACACACTGCTCTTTGCTCTTTGCATTTAAAAAAAAAAAAAAAAAAAAAAAAAAAAAAAAAAGAGGGCTGTGGTTCTGAGCATCTCATCAAGCTAAGAATATGTCACTAAGCTGGCATATTCCCCAGGGTGATCTGCATACTGCAGACTAGCAAGGCAGCCACCTCAGTGCATGATTACTCTCCCTGGCTCCATCAATACTTTCCCACTGGAGGCAGCAGCAGGTGCCAACTTGCAATAAGCACCAAACCTCACTGAATTTGCTGCCTCATCTCCTGTGTCTTCCAGGAGCACTGATTCCTTGGAAGAGGAGAAGCACCTGTGAAACAGCTCTCCTTCTATGGAGATGCTATCAGCCAAAGCGTTTGTAATGTCATTGCTCTTAAGTCTCCAGCCAAACTCAAACTGTGCTGTTCCTAAGCTGCAGAGTTGATGTTATGAGTGAAGAACTGGCAGTAAAATAGTGAAAGAGAAGGTGGACAAGAAGAGAAACAACTGCCTCACAGAGTCAGAGATTTTCCCAAGCCAGAGCCAGGACTTGAACCTCATTCACCTAGGCTACTAGGCTCCAGCCTAGTAATCTTAAAGAAAAGCTTCCTTTCTCCCTGTTCTTTGGGCTAGAAGGAAAACAAAAAGCAATTGAAAGGATTTTTTGCTTGCCTGGAAGAGGACATCACCCCACTCCACAAATAGCATTAGTCTGACACTGATTTTTTTCTTTATCCTTGCTCGTTATGATTTAATTGTCAGGAAAAAAGGATCAAAGAAAAACTCCCACACAGATGTTCAAACCAAGCACTCAGGATCATAGTTTGATATATTAATGCCTGATTCACAACCAGGCTGGAGCAGAAGATGGAGGAACCTTCAAGGTTTTTTTTGTTTTGTTTTGTTTTGTTTCTTTTTTCTTCTTTTTTATCCAGTTATTTAATATTCTATTATGATCAGCACACTTAACACTTGAAATATGTAGCTAGGTAATTAATATACCTACCCATTTCTTTTTAAGAACATTGAATTGGAACAGCGTCAGCCTGGAAAAATCTGTTTTGTGTGTGTCAGAGAGTAAATTATAGAGGGGGCCTGTGTGGGAAAGCCTGGACAGAACAGAAACAGCCTGCCATTTAAGTCCTTTTCATGAAGGAAACATGACTGAGTGGTGAGGAAACACCAAAGTAAAGTTAAATCTTTCTCCTTGAAGTGTTTATTCATTACCCCTATCCCTGCTGTTCTTTACATATTCTTTACATTCATATACTAGCTCCAAACCCTCCACTAGCCAAGAGAACTTTTTTGTTGTAATTGGTAACATGTAGGGCATTGGCAGAACCTCAGTTTTCACTACAGTTCACCGGAAAAGTCCAAAATCTCAGCTGGTTTCAGCCAGTCCAGATAGCAAGAGGTTTCCTCTCTAAAGAAATTACAAGGACAGTGTATATTGACATAGGACTGGCTCTAACACATGCTCTTCTCCCTGCTGTTCACTGCCCTAGATGATCCTCCTTTGAGCAGTAATGTTGGACAAGATGATATCCAGAGGCCCAATACGACCTCAGCTGTTTTGTGAGTCTGTGAACTGTGGACTCCTATCTGCATTAAATGGTTTTGGCCTAAATAGTGTAAAGTGCATAAATGGCTCCAAATAGTTCTAGACAGTCAACATACCTTATGGCCACTGAATTTGTTTAAATTTATAACAGAGAATTGGCCAGCTATTGGATTTGCGTGAGAATCAAGGTGGCATAAAGTATCTCTCTGTTAAATAGTCTGAAGCACATAGTAATTATGGAAGTCATTTATATAAAAAAAAGCTTTACTGCACAGTCACCATGAGTTGGAGGCACTTTGTATCTTGCAAATATATTCTGTGCCTGGTAGACTTACCCTGTTAACTTACTTTTATTGTTGCATCTTCAGCCATTGCACAAGGCTGTGGAGGGGAAAGACTTGAAGACTTATTTGAAAAAAATGGAGGTATTTTCTGCTGCTAACTAATGCAGTATAATAAGGAATTTGTAAACAAAGTCAAAGGACAAGGGAGATAGAAACTTTGCTTTAGTATTGTTCTTGAAAGAGCATTCTTGAAGGCAAGTAACTGAGGATGAGAGGAGTGCCTGTTTAGGCACCTCCCATGTAGATACGGCAGTACCTACAGGAGTACAGAATACTAATGTAAAATCTGAGGAATAGGGTGTTTGTCTAGGAGGCCCAACTTTTAGTAACCTTCAAGCAGAGAAATCCCCTTCCTGGATGATGTTGGAACTACAAACACACAGAAGCACCAGCAACCAGCAACCACTAACTGTGGGTGAAAACAATGAAATTTCTCAGACTTCCTGGGCCATTTTCATACTTAGGTATACTTAGGAGAAATCTACAGGTATGAGGACTGAGGTGGCATAGATTTAATTTCTTTGTCTTGTTCCTGCAAAGCATCAGACTTCAGTCAGAAGACAGGCATGACACCATAATACACCACATTTTTCATACCTTTGTAGTAATTTAGATTCATTCAAGGAATTTATGTATGTCCATTGTAGGTGGCAAGTAGATTTTATGAAGTAATCTCTAACCTAAAGTTATACCTACTAAATGCTATTTACATTCAATTTGAAGTACAAGAAGGCCATACCGATTTTGTCTTGTATCACTCTGCATTATGAATGTAAAGAATTTAACATTTTTCCACCACACAACACAGATTTACAAGTTTAATTTAGCTAGAATTACTGGGGTACTGGAATTACATTTGCTGTTTCAAGCTGTTCAGAAGAGTTTGGTCTTCATTCTGATTCCTTTTTTGTGAAGGGAAAGAATCCAGAAACTTTTCAAAAGAAATACGTCATCACCTTCCATCACAATAGAACGAAAAAATCTCTTCATGCAACGCTCTGCATCTATTTGGATAGCGGTGAATTATGCCCATGACAGCTGTGTGAAAGGGAAGAACATCTCATTAACACCAAGCAAAGCAGGTACAACATCTTCATGATTTATGTTACTTCAACATCCAGCTGAAACAGTGGTAGTATTTTCTTCAAAATTACTCTCAGGATCGTAACTCCTGATATACACATGTTCTTTTCACTAATTGAGTGTTGCAGTTTGGCTTCTTTGGATGAAATCTTCATTGAAGTCAATTGCAGAAGTCTTTTTTTTTTTTTTTTAGTGGGAGCAGGACTTTAAAACATTTGCTAGACTATAAAATACTTATATCCCCAAAAATATATACTGCGAATATCTTTGTGTACCATACTTTACCAGCTTCCTCTGCTCTCTGGTGGTTTTCCTAATTTCTTTATGGGCATGAAAAGGGCAGGCTGACTCAGTAGCAGGCATTTAAGGAATTCTTGCTATAGAGCATTAAAGTTTTAAGAAATGTTTTCAAGTTTCCACTATTTTCTCATGCTAGTTGCCTATTACACAGTGCTTGATGCATGTATGGAAATACATACGTAGGATGTATGGAAAAAGAAATCCTGTGAACTATGCAGTTTAGATATTTGTTCACAGGTTCTCTAGAGTATCAAATCACTGAGATAACTTCAAGATCTTCCCAAAGCCCCACCTTCTCAGAGTAATTATATTCCAAGTAAAACAATACTTCTCACCACTGACAGGCACTACCAGTACAACTAAATTATCACTATGACCTCCTTGGGAGACTTCTGGACACCTTGCTTCTATTGGAGGAGAAACAAAATGTATTTACATTTAAAATTATATAGCTAAACACAGTTGCTGAAATTGGAAGCCATTAAGTTCTGTAAACTTTTCTACAGAACATAGTTTTAGGAACTATTGACATTTTGATTTTGCCATTCAGACTCACTCAGAAGAGCACCTGTTTAGAAACAGGGTCTTCCTGGTATCAGGAGAAGCATTCACAAAAGAATTGCAAGAAGAACAATCCTGTTTTGTTGACACCATAAAGATTTAGTAATAATTTATTTCCAGTCTTTTTAAAGCCTTGCACTGTTCAGTATTCTGAGCCAAGTCTTATATTTTATTTTCAGTGAAACACACCAACACACCTGACACATAATTACCAAAGCCTTCCTGCTTCTCTTGTATTGATAACATCTGCATATTTCCTATTTTAGGGAAGTGCTTGACACCATCTAACATAAATGCTCATCAGATCACAAACCAACTGAAAATAAAATGGGACATGCCTGCAACTCCTACACAGTATGAACTGAGATACAGAGAGGCACTCACAGAAACCACTCAGTGGACGCTGGTAAGTATTTCCAGATGCCAATTACTTGAGAACATGAGGTGCCTTACCATCAGCTCAGCAGTACATAGCACATATGGCAGGATGTAAACAGGATGTTACTGAAGAGCATTGAAATATAGATAGCGAGAAAGCATTACATTCAGTTTGAAGGCAAATCTCACAAAGATCTCTTAGTTTTGTTCTGACAGATCCAGAGCTGTATGAGAGAGACAAATTAATAGTTTTATAGAGAAAATAAATAAATAAATAAAATAAAAGGAAGAAAAAGAAAGAACACTGTGTTAGCTGGTAAATTAACCAGACAATAAGACACAACCATCAACAGTGTCTTCAACAGCTGAGGATCTACAGAAGATATTAGAAATGAGATAAAATCCCAAGTCCTGGTTACACATCAAGTGATGGGCCATATTACTTTCTACGCTGGTATCATTAAATTTTCAGAATTATTAGAGACCAGACAACTGTGATATTGTTCTTCAGAATGCCAGCAAGTATCAAAGTTAAGTAACTGATAATTTTTCAGCACATATGCCTAACCCATTAAAAAAAAAAATATTTAGACCTACACTACTGCTTACATGTCCTGGCTGAACAGAGTTAGATCATGAAGAAGAAAACATAATCTTGAAAGAATGAACAGAAATTGGCTAAGATATATAGTAATTCTTCTTTTATGATGGGGACTGCTACTTCTGCAATCAGAATAATGGTCCTTGACTGAGTAAACAGTTACTATAAGACTATGCTTTATTATGTTTATAAGACTATGTCTTATGTTTTATCGCTGCCACATACATTAAACATCATTTATTTTTAGGTGCCCATAGAAAGCAATACTGTCAACATCACTGTTTCGAATTTAAATGCTACAGCTTCATACATTGTTCAGCTCAGATGCATAGCCAAGGATGGTCTTCACTGTGTTTGCATTTGGAGTAGAGAGATTTTGGTCCCTCACAGTAAGTGAAAGATGGTTTCATGTAAATAAGCATGAGTGTAAAAGCCCTTTCCAATTTTATATCATAGGAAATAGCTTTGTCAGATACTATTGAAAATATGAAGATCAAACTGATTTATATGAGTGCATGTCTCCCTATTTTCCTATGTTTACCAGAGCTCATGAGCAAGCCAAGAATATCATATAATGCAACTACAGAAATCTCTCCAGGCAGAAGAAGTGTTCGTCTTAAGTGGGAGGTAATGTTCTCTTGAGTATGGGTCCCTTCTGTTATATCCATGCTATTCATTCATTACTTTATAGGAAGAAAATTGTCTTTCTTATTTTATTGAGGCTACAGTGTATGAAGAAAAAGCATTGAATATTGAATTTGTGCTTCAAGATTCACTGAATTTGTGTGGTTCTGTGCCAGGTGCTAGAAACTAGCAAGCAAAAACTACACCAATTTATAAACTATTTATTTTTTACTTAAAATTATTAAAACAGCAATTTCTAGGCTCAAGTAATTGACAAGAATTAATGTCCTTTCCAGCTAACATTGAGAATTGGTGTGCCTCAGGCTTGTTTTAGAATTAAGCTTTTCTTGAATGATCCTTGTACGACTTAACATGTTCAAGCGATGTACATTGTGTTTGACATGTTCCTAAGGAACAGTCATATTCTCAATAGACACCAAAACTTTTCAGAAAAGCACTTAGTAAGTCTACTAATTTGCTAATTCAGAAGTGCAAATACATTATAATAAGGAGAGAAAAGTTGTTCTGGCTTACAAGAACATCTTTCATGTTTCCCCTAATGATATGTAAAATTGACTTTGCAAGTGAGAGGCTTCCCTCCTTCTGTAGCAGGTGTCATTACCAGCAGACTGACTACAGTCAATTGAACCAGCTGAAATTGTCTTGGTAAGAAATGGATAATTGACAGTCTTGAATTCACATTTAAGGGGGACATAGGCAATTTTGTTGAGCAAGGTGTACCTGCAGGTTTTCACATGGAAACTAAGGCTATGTAGATGCTGAGAGAAGGAACTTCTACAAACTCCCAGAAACTTGCCATAGGGAATGTCTAAAGCAGAAAAGACAGAGACTGGCAGAGTTTTGATATATCAAGAAAATCCGGAAAGTTTTGTAATTACCCCATGTGGTTTTTGTAAGGGAAAGAAAAAAAAAATAGCAGAGGAAGTAGACACCTACGCTTCTGATTGGGATGAGATATCCCTTCTTTTCCTTTATCTCCTGAGAAGAAGGTAAAACTGCAAAGTAGATGATTCATTTTGAGATAAAGAAGTGGATTGTACGTGCCAATTTAAATGTTAAGACAAGAAAGCATTCTCCACTAAAGAGCTTTGAGTAAAAAATGTGTACATTAAATACAAAATCAAGGCTAGCACCTTCTTTCAGGAAATCTCTCCCACTAATCTAGTATACTAAATAAGATTAAAGTCCACATGGCTTCAGCAAACATTGAAGAAGCACAGAAAAGGAGTATACTCAAAAATTACAATGGTAAATGGAGAAGAAAAAAAAAATCTTCTGCCTTACTTGTTTAAGCCATTTTGAAATAAAAAAAAAAAAGAGACAAAACAGCTTTAAAATTGTAGAGGCTAGCTCCTCTGTTCTTGTTAAAGTTCCATGTGTAAGCTCTACAAAGTTTAGACCAAAAGACACAAGATAGATGGCTTCAGCTCTGAACATCCAAGCAGGCATTACATATTGCTTTCTTCAATGGAAATAGTATGAGATCTCCTGCTGCACCTCACAGTGCTTGCCTTTTCCAGTCTCATGTTGTTAATTTCAGAAAGTTAAGTTCTGCTTGATTCTTCTTGTGTAATAGACCTCATATGCAACATATTCTAGGAATCATTTCTCCTACACACAAATATTTTCCACTTTCAAAGTCTGGTGACAGAACCATAATGCTATTCCCCTAGCAGCTTCGCCAGAACTTCAGATAAGGATAGTGGTTCGTCCCTCCAAATGCTGGGATAAACTTCTTTCATTTCCATTTTAAGAACTTCCACCTTTAGCAGAAATCCCTCTCAGCATGTATGTCTTTGCATTTTATATTTGTTGACCATCTATGTTAGTTCAAATTTATCCAATTATTTCACTAATATAACTTGACCTCCTAGTTTAGTGTTCTCTTTACACTATTAATTCACTGCCAAGGTGACTAAGAAATAATAGACACACTGGATATCAGATGCAATTTTTGCACAGTTCCCAGACTTCCTTGTATTTCATTCAGTTTCTATCTAGACTGCAGTGGTTTGAATTTCTGTCCACTCTTTTTCTGGTCTGTCATGAAGATTAATACAATAAAATAATAAGTGAACCATTACCACCTAAAAATTTGTATCAATAGCTATATAACGTATTCCAAGGTTGTAGTGTAATTATCAGCATTTATCCTCAAAGCAACTGGATATCTAACAAAGTCTAGTAGATGAACATTCCCAGAGGCATAAACTTCAATTCAACACCTCTCATTAACTTTCAAATTCCTAATTATGAGGGGTATGTGTTCCAGTGAAATGTAGAGAATATTACGGCTGCTTCACTGCTGCTATGACTAGTTGGATGCACGTAACTAAGATCCCAGTTAAGCAAAACACTTAAAACTGTGCTTAAATCCTCTCAAGTTAAGAATACTCTTAATATTAAGAAAATACTTTGCTTAATTGATTACTGAGAACCTAATTGAAATATTATCATTTTATCCCCATTATTACATCTGATGTTTTGTTTATACAATTCCATTGCTCTTGATTTTCCATACAGGACATAACTTCTATAAGATCATAGAATCATAGAATATTGGAGTTGGAAAGGACCCACAAGGATCATCGAGTCCAACTCCTGGGTACCCAAAGGACCACCCATAAATAAATAAATAAATAAATAAATAAATCAGACCATGTATCTGAAAGTGTTGTCCAAACCCTTCTTGAACTCCAGCATGCTTGGTGCCATGACCACATCCCTGGGGAGGCTGTTCCAGTGCCCAACCACCCTCTCAGCAGAAGACGTTACCCTGAAATAATCTTTTTCCTCTTTCTAGGTAATGCAAAGTGAGAACATCCTTGGATACTACATTGATGTTGAAAGAATACCCAACAATTGTAAGGACTCACGAAATCACACCATTTTAAAGGGCAGAGATGTTCTTCTAAATCTCTCTATGGCTTATTATAGGGTTAATATTTCTGCCTATAACAATGAAGGAGAATCTCCACAGACCATCTACATTGTCCCAGATTCCTCTGCAACAGGTACTAACTTTAACATTTACTCAAAAAATTGGTGGAGAAGTTATATGATTTTGATATAAATTAACTAACAGACCAAGCAATTTAACATTCCTGTTAACATCACCAAGCAATCTATTATTCCTTGTATTTAACATAACTTGAAGGTATACTAAGTAAGTTGGTGGTCGACACTAAATTAGGAGGAGCTGTTGACTCCATCAAGGGCAGAGAGGCCTTGCAGAGATATCTTGGCAAATTAAAGGCCTAGGCAATCATCAACCACATGAAGTTTAACGAGAGCAAGCGCTGCACCTGGGACAAAGCAAACCTTGCTATACATACAGACTGGGGGACTGGAGGATGGAGAAAGGGATCTGGGGGTTCTGGTTGACAGCTAGTTGAATATCAGCCAGCAGCGTGCCCTGGCAGCCAAAAGGGCCTGACATACCCTAGAGTGCATCAGGCACAGCACTGCTAGCTGGTCGGGGGAAGAGATTGTCCTGCTCTGCTCTGCACTGGTGTGGCCTCACCTCAAACACTGTGTGCAGCTTTGGGCACCACAATATAAGAAGTGTCCAAAGGAGAGTGACCAGGATGGTGAAGGGTCTAGAGGGGAAGAGGTCGCTTGGTTTGCTCAGCCCCGAGCAGAGCAGGCTGAGGGGAGGCCTCATGGCGGCCTGCAGCTCCCTCACAAGGGGAGCGGAGGGGCAGGCGCTGAGCTCTGCTCTCTGGGGACAGCGACAGGACCCGAGGGAACGGCATGGAGCTGGGACAGGGGAGGGTCAGGCTGGAGGTTAGGGAAAGGGTCTGCACCCAGAGGGTGGTCGGGCACTGGGACAAGCTCCCCAGGGCAGTGGGCACAGCACTGAGCCTCATTGAGTTCAAGGAGTATTTGGACAACGCTCTCAGACACATGGTCTGATTCTGGGGTGGTCTTGTGTGGAGTCCCCCTGATCCTTGTGGGTCCTTGTGGTGATCCCTTGTGATCCTTGTGGGTCCCCCTTCCAACTCGGGGTATTCTATGATTCTATGACTCCTTATTTTTATTTTATTTTTTTTTTTAAAAGCTACAGAATGCATTGGTGAACAAGGGTGCAAGCACCAGATATCTGCCAACAATTAGTTTTTTAGATTTTCTAACACAAATTCCTCATTACATTCTCCTTTGCCCTGCAAATGCATAACAATTCATTTTGGTCCTTACATTTGACAGCATCTCTTTCTTCTGATGTAACACATACTCTCACCTCAAGCCATCTTTCATCTGACAGCTACCTGTTTACTAAATTGCTGCCTGTTCTTCATGGCTCTCTCCTAGTATCTGTTCTAGATTTTATTTTACTTACAGGCAGGTTCTCTATACCTATGATGAATTACTGGGAAGATACTTGCATGAACTCTGCTCTCAGGATAAATTCCTTCTCTGCGTGCACAATTTTTTCTCGGCTAGTAAAGATATTTTCTTTAATTCTGCTCATTGGTTTTCAGATAGGAGATAAAATGGAAAATTTTGTCTGTCTGCCATAACATTCACCTCTTACACTACCTGACAAGTTGTTTCTTTTCCCCATTAGTTTCACTCAGAAGGTGTTCCCTGGTTTTATAATCTGTCTTAGAAAACTGCAGAACTTTTAAAGCATTTTGAATTTTCTGGAAGAATATGAAATATAAAATTACATAGTTACAATATATAATTTGCCCCTTCTCCTCTGCCAGGTATAAGTAGCCTCGCATTTGCTCTATATGTAGTTGTTAATAGCAGTCCTCAGGAGGCTGTTTAGCAACGTCAGGCTGCTTCTTCTTGAGCCGTGGAACAACCATTTCCACACATACAATTGTATGAAATTAAAGGTCACGAACATCAATTAACACTGGTGTTCCCAGAGACCACTGCAAAGTATTAGCTGCTAAATTTTCTTTATTGACATAAAAGTGTAGACTATTATATGCCGGTCATCCTCACAATAGCTACTTAATGAAGAGTCTTGAAATGACTCAGAGCAAAAGACAGAAAGAGTGAAAGGGGGGAGGGACAGACTGCTTTTCTATTCATTCAACTCTAATGGTACATTTGTTCACAGACTTGCCTGGCCAAATCAATGTTAAACCTCAGGGAACTGATGCAGTTGTCACCTGGACTCCAGAATACAGTCCAAAATGTTTTGTGGTTGACTGGGGTACTTGTAAAGAGGATATGCGCATGAAAATAGTAACTACACCTGCTGGAAATTTCACACTAGGTAATGGCACCAACCACATCTCCTAATGGAGGCACCATTTCATTTACTGGTTATTTCTGGCTGGGGAGGGAAGAATTTTCATCCTGTTTTTAAGAACAAACGGAGGATCCAGGTAAGCATGCCTTGTGTCTTTGTCCAGCACTGAGGCAACTTCTATTTTTACAAAACAACAAAGTGGAGGAAATCCTGAAGAAATGTAGCTAAGCTGCTGTTGTTGGTAAGAGGTCTCTCCTTCCCCAAATTTCAGGCAGACCTGTACACTACCTGCTGGATAACACTGTGGTATGAGAACAAAAAAAGCTTCCCTAGCCCCTTGGTAAACTTAGCTTCAAATACAAATTGCTCTGTTACAGACTTTCCCCTCTATTGTTTTTCTTCCCCATAACTGTACTTGTCAGAGCACAAATTCTCAACTCCAGTACTCTGGTTACCGAATCGGGCATGAAGATCTGCAGGCAGAGGTCAGTTTAAAGGATAGTCATTCAAAATCTTTATTAAAATCACGTAGTTGACTAATGCAAAGACCATTCAGAACTGTCTTTTATGTACAGCAGAGAACATTTAACTACAATTTCATGTTAATAAATGTAATGTTTTCCTTGGTCCTCCTGCAACATTTGCACCATGTTACATATAGTTGTTTTGCCTGCTTTTAAATATGCTAGTTTTTTTTGGGGGGGCGGGGGAGGAGGAGGAATATCTGCCCTTGAACTAAGGATTCTACAGCCATTTCAGTTTCATACCTTTCATTCAGCAGCTTAAGCCTTCCAGAGCTGGATTATAGGTAAGTATGTCATCTTTTAAAAGCAAAACAGTGTTACATCTTGTTCTGCTTTTGAAATAGTTTTAATAAAGGGTTTAGAGGAAATGAGAAATGATGCATATACTTTGTGCTTGGTGTAATGCACTGTAAATTTAAACTATGCTTTGAGGCTCAGAAAGTAAGAGCTGTATAGAAAAGCTACAAACTTGTTGACCTTCTTCCCTCCTTTTTTTTTTTCATTTATAACTTTTCAGTAAAACCTGATATATGTTTATTTGTTTTCCAGATAATTTGAAGCCACATAAGTTGTACAAAATAATGGTACATGCATCTGATGTTTGTCAGTGTGAAAATTTCACAAGACATGAAAAGACTTTTGGAGTGACCCACTTTTACTCAGTTGAAGGAGGTATTCCTCCCTTTTATATAACCTCATCCCTTGTATTTCTTTTTATTTTCTATCTGCAGAAAAAAAAGAAAAAAAAAAAAGTCCTACACAATGTTTCTTTTCCAGGTGACTTAACAGCATTCTCCAGTTAGCACTGCCTTTGGTCCTAAGCGGCGATTCAATTGCAGTGAATGACCTGCATGCTGTTTCTTACTGACAGGTCCATAGAAATGATATTATTACACATGACATTACCAGAATAACTGAAAGAGGGTCCCTGAGTTACTGCTCCTTGTAACTCAAGTTTAACAGTGGCAAAAGTCAGATTTTCCAATTCAAATTCAATGATGTCTTCTATTGCAACGTGAAATGAATACAGCTGTGACTGCTGGAGTAAAAGTGTTTGTAATGAGTCAGGCATATTTTCTACCTACATGGGTATTGCTTAACCACAGAATAACAGATTGGCTTGGGTTGGAAGGAACCTTAAAGATCATTTAGTTCCAACCCCCCTGCCATGGGCAGGGATGCCACAAGAGGTTGAGATGAGGTAGTTTTACTCTATGGGATTTCTCTTTTCTCCTCCAACCTTGATGTAATATTTATGACAATTAGAATCAGCCAAGCATCTCTCCAGGCAGCAGCTAGGTTTCAGTCTTGTATGTCTACTGCATAACTAGTAATGCAGAACTTAAATTATTTTCTGAATTTTAAGTTCCTAGGGCAGGCCCCACTAATGTGACAATACTTAATATCACAAAGCATTCTGCACTTGTGAAGTGGACTGAAATAGCTGCTGAAGACTGTTTGGGTTTTCTCCAGGGATACAGAATCAGCTACACAGATTCATCAGGGAAAAAGTGGCTGGGTAAGTGTCCATTGCTCAGAACAAGGGAGTAAATCGGAGTCATGCACGACAAAAAAAAGTTTCATACAGAGACATTACATTCATACAGTATTGCACTGTGATTCTGCCATGTTGAAGGTATTCTACTGCACTGGTTGGTTAAATAATTCTAACTAGATGAAAACACACTGCACCATCTGGAAAGAAAGGCTGAGGCCTAAAAAGCAGATAAAGCAGAATACATGGCCATTTTTCTAAACTAAAGTAATAGCATCACAGAATCACAGAATCACAGAATCTCTAGGTTGGAAGAGACCTCAAGATCATCGAGTCCAACCTCTAACCTAACACTAACAGTCCCCACTAAACCATATCCCTAAGTTCTACATCTAAACGTCTTTTGAAGACTTCCAGGGATGGTGACTCCACCACCTCCCTGGGCAGCCCGTTCCAGTGCCTAACAACCCTTTCAATAAAGAAATTCTTCCTAACATCTAACCTAAAACTCCCCTGGCGTAACTTTAGCCCATTCCCCCTCGTCCTGTCATCGATATTGACCAAGGTGAATAACTACTGATTACAGTAGTGAGAGTAAAGCAAAGGTCTAGTCTTGCAAATCTTGTTCAGTCATTGTTTACAGGCAGTTCAGATGCTTTTCTCTTTCCATGGTCAAAGACAGGAATTAACACACACATTATTCCCTTACTGCTATGAAAACCTGTCCTTATTTCAACTGTTACAGCCAGGAGTATTCATGAAAACCACTGTTCAGCAAATCAGGCCTATTGCCTATTATACACAGTCTACTGCACATATCACCAAGACATCCTGGTGTGTTAGAAAATCAAGCTTTTTATACCTGGAATCAAAATGCATGCAAGTATGTTGGAGAATAATAACCTCTTATAATAATCCAAAGAAAACCTGCATAGAGTGGCCTCCTCCTGATATGGATCAGGGCATAAAAATTTTGCCTTTTCCCCTGTCAGCTGCATTGTTACAGACTCAGCAAACAGAGATCACCTAACTGCCTCACACCCTAACTCCTACTGTGTTTTCAGCTGCTAGTGTCAACTCTTCTACCACAAGTTACCGTCTGACTGGACTTAAGGAAAAGACCATCTACCGTGTGCAGATTTCGGGATTCACTAATGCTGGAGAAGGACTGCCAACTCTTTCACAACCTTTCAGTACTCTAAAATACGGTACTGTAGAAGCCCTATGCTACTGTGTTGCCCATCATCAATCTTGGCTTTATACACCATTACATAAATAACTATTTGCTTCGCCTTCTCTTTTCCCTGCTTTTCAAGGAGTAACAAAAGTGCTCATGCACAGGATCTCTTACCCAATCCTTACTTTACTGATAGCAAATGCAAAATTGTTCCTCTCTTACAGTTATCTATATATTATTTAACTCTTATATTTCTTTACCTAACACACAAAGAAGACTTAGCTACAGTTTCTCATCTCTGAAACATTTTCTGCCCTTTTTTATGTTAGCTATTCACAGAACTTCATTTACTGCTTACTCCAATCACAGACTTCACCAGTTTAAATAGTCTGTCTGTGACTAGTTAAGTTCAGTAGTCTTTGTTCTCGGCAAAATCCTGAGCAATTGCATAGAGCTGATTTCCAGTTAGCCCTCTGAGCCATTAACAATAAAAAAGTCCCTCTTTCAATTGTTCCTACTATGGGTGACACTTGATAAGATCTTTTTTTTTTTTTTTTTTCTTCTAATAACTAAAGTACTTCTTTACTTTTACCAGGCCTGGTAACAACAGGCCTGTGAGTCTAACATCAGTCCCTGGTAAAATTATGGAGAAGATTATTCTGGGAGTTATTGAAACACACCTGGGGGACAATGCAGTCATAGGTCACAGCCAACATGGGTTCACAAGGGGTAGGTCCTGCTTAACAAATTTAATTGCCTTTTATGATAAGATCAACCATCTATTTATCAAGGGAAACAAGATGATGTGATCTTTTTAGATGTCAGTAAAGCTTTCGATACAGTTTCTCATAGGATACTACTGGACAAGATGTCCAGCATACAGCTAGATAAAAACATCATACAGTCGGTGAACAACTGGCTTAGAGGGTTGTGGTAAATGGGGTTACATGAGGCTGTCAGCTAGTCACCAGGTGGGGTCCCCCAAGACTATCATTTAGGACTTGTTCTTTTCAGTGTTTTCATAAATAATTTGGATTGTAGGACTAGAAGGTGTTTTGAGTAACTTTGGTGTTAGCTAAAACATAGACTCTCAAATATTTTTAACACATTAACAATTAGACAATATAACACTGATGTAGACTCTTTTTAATTTTGACCATAGCTTCACTCAAGTGAAGCTTTCTACAAGAAAAACCCAAAACAATAATAAAAGTGCAGGCTAAAATAATACCTGTCACAGGAAGAGTACTTTGAGGTATTCACAGATTCTTATGGTTTCTTACCATTACAGCAATTTTGTATTTATATCCCCTTCATTTAATACAAACAACTGAAGAGTCAAAAGTGCAATGAAGAAAGAAACAGGGAAGAAATTAAAAACCTGCTTTGAAATCAGCATTTTTTTCTCCACATAAATCCTTTCTCCTGACAACACAATAAATCAAAGTGTTTCCCTTGGAGCGTATCTGCAGTATTTCTGTTCCATCCATGCTATTGAACATGTGTTAAGATAAGACTTTCAGAGTTAATGTAATATTTTTAAAATGTAAGTAATTACAATGAATTTAAATATTACACTCACTATTTCCACTTCTCCCCAGTATTTCACAGGTTACTTAATCTCAGGTTTCTTGGTCATAAAAGTCTTTTTCATCAACAAAGCAATTTGTAACTTTTCAAATACCTTTTTAAGCAAACTTAAGTAGCTGTTCAATTTTAAAAGAGAACTTTTTTACTGGAGAGTATATGGGAAAAGAAATAGCAAGCAGTCACTTTGCAAACATGGTTTATCAGCAACACAGCCATGCACTGGCCACGCTTTCCTGATGTTATTTTGAAACTTTTGTCTTGGGGTGGCTGGTGGAGAGATCTATAACATGAGCAGATCTGTTAACATGAGCAATAGTGGATGCAGGTACATAGTGAAGCCTGAAAAATGGCTGACTGAGGATAAAATTACTTTAATATTCCAAATGGGTGAAGCATGTCATCTACTAAATAAATATATGTTACTATTAGCATGACCAGGTGGAGTTTGACCACCAGAAAAAAAAATATATATAATAAAAAAAAAAATCCTGACACGTTAAATGTAAATTTCAATTAAATCATTTCCTACCAAGTCAGACCTGCAGCGGAGGCCTGACCTGTTAAACAAGCCAGAGTTCACTTACATGGGAAGTAGGTATGCTTCTTTTACTATACAGTGTTTATTTTTGAATTGTGTATTTAAGAGCTTGGCATGTATCAAGATCTCTTAAAAATAAAAAAAAAATAAAATAAAAAAAAATTGGAAGCCTCGGTACGAGAAATCCCATATTTTGTTTAAACTAAATTTCAGTTACAGAAATACCAGAACATGAGTTAAATTTCACATATGTTTGGCCTATTTCTCTAGTGAAGGCAATAAAGCATCTTCATACTTGATACCATAAGTTTGATTCCATCTTTCTTTTCTTTCTTTTCTTTCCCATCAGATAAAGGAGAATTTGAAGGTTTTATGATTGGCATTTTCTTCAGCATGGTGTTTGTTTTAGTTTTTGCACATGTGATTTGTTCTCTGGTGTTTAAAAGGTAAGAATTGAATATTGAATAATGCTATTAGCAGTACCTCACTTTTACTTAACTCTAAGTTTCATAACACTGGCCTTTCTTTGTCAGTGCAAGCCACTCAATTAAAAAGCCCCAGACAAAAAGGCCACTCTACTCATTTACACAATGAGAGTATTTACAAACCAGTAACAAGCTGATTAAAATACTTTGTCAAAAACCTATGATCTTTTACTTTTGATAGAGTTACCTGACTACTTCCTGTCTCAAACATTCTTGAAAAGAGCATGGATCATTTCTCCCAGTAGAAAATAGGCTATGTATAAGGAAATAAAAAGAGTACATTTAATTATTCTACTCTTTCATTCCTAAATGATGATCGTGCATTTTCTATTGAAATACAAAGGTGAATTCCACCAGCATACTGAAACCAATGTTGCCATCTGAACATTTCCCTGCAAGCCCATTCAGATGTTAGCTGTACAAATTATACATATAACCCATAATGGGAAGGAGAAATCAATGGATGAGTAGGAAGAGGAGAGAGCAACAAGGGCACCTACAGGATATGGACAAGGGAAGATGTCCTCTTACCTCAAATTAGTATGAGGTGCTGGTGCAATATTACATGTATGCACTAACACTGAAAGAAAAATGTCTTACATAGTAATTGGTTTTAATGCTCATTTACTCATAAGCTTATTTGCATACAACCATTCATATTACTATTATGATATCCTAGAATGCCACTTGCCTTTTTTCTCCCTTTAAAAAGCACCAGCCTCAGATGCTGAATTTGAAGCTGTTAAGAAGGGACTAACCAGCTACACAAAAACTCTCTTCATAGGATCAGAGAAGAAATCAGATAAATCTGATCAGATAAATCTACTGCATCAGACTTCACAGCAAGCTTCACCTCAACAAAGACGTAGTACCTGACCTCTAATAAAGTCTAGATTTGACTCTAAGACTAGACAACACTGAAGTCAGCACAGAGGCAGGGTGATGGCCTAGATAACCTTGTGCAGTTTCTCACAGATGTGTTGATTTTTTTTTTTTTTTTTTTTTTTTTTTTTTTTTTTTTTTGTATGGATATGAGTCATTTCCCACAGGTCCCTTGGTGCAGCTCTGACAGCAGCTGCTGGCAGGGAGAAGCTCAGCTGGAAAATGCTGAGTAATGCTCTCCAGCAACCCAGGGTGGCAGGAGTGATGGGCACACATGGGCAGGAGTGATGTGCCCATCAGGACACACATTGTGGCCTGTCCTCTCCGAAAGGGACAGGGAGGACAAAGCCCCTCACCTCAGCCTGATCAGTGCTGAAAGAGCCAGCTGGGCCTTGCCCCAGCCCCTGCCATGGCTGCCCAGCATCACTGCTTTCCAGACATTCACAAGCAGCCCTTGCTTCATGCCTTTGGTGTGGAAGATGAAAGGCAGCTTCTTCTCACCCAAGCTCTCAGCAGCAGCCCCAGGGCCTCCTCTGCATGTACCCCAATGGTGGTGACAGCCATAGGATGCTGAAGAGCCTCGTGGCATGCTGCAAGTTTTGCTCTTTCTGACCCCCTGAGTTCAAGGAAGGAGCTGGAAAGTCCAACCCTCTGACCAGAGGGCTGCAGACAAGCAGCCAGATGAAACCAATATGAATGGCTCCACTCTGAACCCTGCTATGCTTTACAACCCCCAACCTGGGAGGATGAAGCTCTGAAACAAACGTGTATTTTGATTTTACAGCAGGTTGTTGAGGATTATCCCTTCATCTACAGCTGTGGCAGAAACAGTTTGGTAGAGTTATGTTTATGCTTGCATCAGATGAAATGGTGAGACTGTAATCTGTCCCAGAAAGAGCTCAACTCAGACCATGAAGGAAGAGCAGGAGCCACATTGCTGTCCCCATCCCAGCATGCAGGTCCCAGGGACAGCCTCCTCCAAAACAGCATGAAAGCTAGAAATCTGTATTTTTGTTTGTTTTGTTTTTGCTTTGTTGTGTTGTGTTTTTTTTTTTTGTTGTTGTTGTTTGTTTGTTGGGTGGTGTTTACTTCACTAATTCAGCAGTTCAATACAGACTAACAAGCTTGGCCTTCGTTTCTTAATTGGCAGTGTGGTTAATAATCATTGTAGAACATCTTTTTTGATGGTCATGAAAATACCAATAAAATGTAGGTAGGAATGACAGTTAATTTAAATGTATAGGAAATATAAATCAATTAACCTGACAGTAAACTTAAAATATTTATTTGCAGGTTGAAAATATCATGCTGGCCCAGTGTACCGAATCCAAGAAACAGCAGTGCAATACAAGACATGGCAAGTACTATTCCGATGATGTGAAAAAATGCACAAGGGAGATCTTTCTGACTTATTAATCACCAACACTAGTGTTTTGTTTTGTTTTGTTTTGTTTTCACACTACAGCCTAATAAATGTCTAATTGCAACAATTGGGAAACAAGGGTAACATTAGAAATACAGGACACTGGGGAGTTGTTCAGACAGAGACTTTTAGTAGAGCATACTTAAAGGCATAGTTGTTAAAAGAATAAGAAAAAGTTGAATTGGGGGAGTGGTAATGTAAAGGGAATTGTTCAGTTCTCATATTCAGTCACTTTTCAACAATTGGAACTGATAATTGAACACATTACTCAAAGTAGAGAATAAGTAATACATTGTGGCCTAATGTATAAGGTATTTTCTGGAATCCAGTCTTCACCCTTCAGTCTCTACGTGCTTCTGGAGCAATCCAGGGCTTTGGCTTGTCAGCTGGTAGCTGTCTGAGGAGGCATCTGTTAGTCAAGAGGCACCATAGTTCAGTAGCATGTTCAAACCTTACCCTACCCAATGATTTCCCATGTGTTTCAGTAAAGCTACCTGAATTTACTGAAAGGGTTGTTAGGCACTGGAACGGGCTGCCCAGGGAGGTGGTGGAGTCACCATCCCTGGAAGTCTTCAAAAGACGTTTAGATGTAGAACTTAGGGATATGGTTTAGTGGGGACTGTTAGTGTTAGGTTAGAGGTTGGACTCGATGATCTTGAGGTCTCTTCCAACCTAGAAATTCTGTGATTCTGTGATTCTGTGAATTTCAGGACTAACAAAGAGCCTGGAAGTTAGCTAGAAACCATGTTAATCATTTTTGCCTATTAGTGACCTTCCTTCCACCTTCCTCTGTTTGCCTCCTTCTTTTGAATAAGAAGTGCTTCTGCTCCAGTTTTAGGACATCTCAGTTTATCTTCCAAGTGTCAGGCTGCCAACCATCGTGTCTTTAGAACAGGAACCTGTGCTGCTTTCCTTTTAATATATTTTTGACTTTCCTGGCAGACCTGAACTTAGTTTCACACTTCTAGATCTAGTTTCTCAAGAAAACAATGTGAGCTTTAGCAAAGCAGAGGTCTATCTATTTAGGACAAAAGTGTAGCAGAAAAAAGCTAGCCTCCATAAATGACCAAGTGAAATACACATTTCTCCGTGGATCCTGACAAGTTGAGGTAGAAATGCATCAATTCCTTGTTCTCAAGCATTAAACTGATAACAGGAAACATATGCCATTGTCAAGCTGAGCTGAAGTCAGGATCCGGAGAGTTCAATGTTACATATTCAGATAGGAAAAGGCAAGAGCACAATTTAAGACCAGACCAGAAGCTGGAAGGTATCTACAGCCAGACACAGTCCAAATATAGGACACCAGAATGGAACCATTAGCTAGGAAATTTAAGAAGGTGCTGACAGGCAGCTGGTAATCAAAAGGTTAGTTGCAGATCAGCATTGCTTTTTTCCTTTGTATAACAAACAAACAAAAAATCTGAAATCTGTCCTTTCTTGTTTTTCACATTTAATTACGTAGGAACAGTCTGTTTTCTAGTAGGAGCTGCAAACACTCTTGTACACATTAGTGAGACTGCAGGCATGGTGAGGGCATAGTGCTGTGTTGTAACGGGTAAAGAGAAGTAGATGAAAGGGGCCTCAGTTGTAATTTGAGGACATGAGCCCAAGGCAGCAGGAGTCAAGAAGATTTCTGTAAGCATGCAAAGGTTGGCACAGAATATGCTTTGGTATTGTAACTACTCAGGATATCAGAGGTGGGAACAGAACCTTGTCCTGCTTTGTCAGCCCGTGTTGGTCCTGGGAGATGGAAAGTCTATCAGTGATGCTTTTTCTTCTTACCCATGATTATAAAAGACAAAAGCTCACACAGAGCTTACTTTAGATTTGTTAGGTATAGCATTAGGGATGCTGTTCATAATGAACATGATAGTGCAGGTACATATCACACGGGTCTTTATTCAAAACAAGACAAATGCTGACTGTGCAGAGGGGGTCTGCTCATCCCATTACAAGTGCCATTTAGAAAAAAATACTGATATTTTATTCAGGATTGCTGAGACTTCAAAGAACAGCGCACTCATTTTCCAGGTCAGAACAGAAATTATAGGAAAAAAGTAAATAAAAAATACATCCCTATTTATATCTTGCAAAAGAACTGTAAGAGTTTAAACAAGTTTAGGGCAACTGAGGAGTTAAAAGCAGAGGCTAGTATGTATGTCACAGAACATACCATCCTGGCCATAATTTTTAAAATATTACAGCAAAGGTGGGGAAGCCCAGAAAAACAATCGAAGTGGAAAATAAAGATGCTTGGCATTGCAAATGGTTCTCCATTTAACGATCCAGAATTTGCAAAAGCTTGTAACCCAGGGTATACTTAGATCGCAGCATGGCATTAAGATAAGTAACAAACTGTATGCTGAGGTTTACATCAAAAGTTGTTTTGGCTGCTGTTCAAGCTGCTGCCTTTTTGTAGTAGCACATTGGTAAAACTTTTTGAAAGCTGTGTCTCAGAACAGTACATCCTGAAACCTACATTTTATCAGCGCTGCATTTTCTCCCTAGTATACAGAAAAGCAAGAAAAACTTTGCATAATTATTAATAATAGAATTACAGAATGTCTTGGGTTGGAAGGGACCCCAGCGATCATCTAGCTCCACCTCCCCTGCCATAGACAGGGACACAACCCACTAGGTTGCTCAGGGTCTCCTCTAACCTTGTCTTAAACACCTCCGGGGATGGGGCATCCACAACCTCTCTGGGCAACCTGTTTCAGTGCCTCACCACTCTCTGAGTAAAAAATTTCTTCCTAACCTCTAATCTAAATCTCCCTTCTTTTAGTTTAAAACCATTCCTCCTTGTCTTGTCATTATCTACCCAAGGAAAGAGATCTTCTCCATCCTTTATATAATAGCCCTTTAAGTATTGAAAGGCTGCAGTGAGGTCATCCCAGAGCCTTCTCTTCTGTAGTCTGGAGCCTCAGCTCTCTCAGCCTTTTTTCATAGGAGAGGTGCTCCAGTCTTCTGACCAACTTCATGTCCCTCTTCTGGACTTGCTCTAACAGCCCCATGTCCTTCTTGTGCTGGGGGCCCCAGCCCTGGATGCAGCACTGCAGGTGGGGCCTCACAAGGGCAGAGCAGAGGGGGACAATCCCCTACCTCCACCTGCTGGCCACTCCTCTGTTGGTGCAGCCCAGGATGCAGTTGGCTTCTGGGCTACAAGCTCATACTCTCGACTCATGCCAAGCTTTTCATTCACCAGAACCCCCAAGTCCTTCTCTGCAGGGCTGCTCTCAATGAGCTCTTCTCCTAGTCTGTATTCACATCAGGGGTTACCCTGGTCCAGGTGCAGCACCCTGCGTTTAGACTTGTTGAACCTCATTAGGTTCATGTGAGCTCACTTCTCAAGCCCGTCCAGGTCCTTTTGGATGGCATCCCTTCCTTCTGGTGTGTTAACTGCACCACTCAGCTTGGTGTCATCTGCAAACTTGCTGAGGGTGCACTCTATCCCACTGTCCATGTTGTTGATGAAGATATTAAACAGTACTGGTCCAAGGACAGACCCCTGAGGTACCCCTGAGGTATACCACTTGCCACCGGTCTCCATTTGGACATAGATCCATTGATCACCACTCTCTGGGTGTGACCTTCAGGCCAATTCCTTGTCCACCCATTGAATATATATCTCTCCAATTTAGAGACCAGGTTTAGGGAAATAAATATTCTCACTCATGTTTATAAAACCAATGTAGATGAGTTAAAACGTATCAGTTAGCCATATTATATAGGCAAGACCAGGCTATCTCTTAGCTTTATTCTTCTGATATTTATTTCAGTGAATAGCCAATTGCACTTTGCTATGGTAATTTATTAAAATTATACTTTCTCCTTTTGCCTTGCAGACGAATTGGAAACCCATTTCAAAGTCACTGCTTCAGGCCATGACAGACAATGATACTACCAGCCTTTATGTCATAGAGCATGAGGCAAAAGTTCCCTTGAAGTTAGAGCACTTTACGGATGGTGTAGAAGTCAGGAAGTGTGACACCTGTCAGTCAAAAGAGTCTACCAATAACATAGACATAAATATAAGACACAAAGAAATCCCTGAAAAAACGGTAACAAGTGAAAAAGAAGGAATCATTTCCATTACGGTACCACTCTTGAGTGACTACACCAGCATGGAGTTCAGCCAGAAAGCCCTGATGAGTCTAACAGTGAAGCTGCCTGCAAGAGTTGCTCATCCTAACCTGGAAATGGAACTAAGGAGTAAGCCAGCACGAACTGAGCATCAGGTTTTGTTTGCTCCCCAGGACTACCTCAAACAAAGCCAGGTAGTATTTTTGCCATCTGTACCAACTTTGATGGGACAAGTCAACTTGAACTGACTTGTCAATTTGCATACTTTTCCTTATCAAAAATTAAATTTCCAAGACCTCTGATCGTTGAATGGAGGCATTAGGACAGTGAGCTTGTGACAATGGTTATGTTCTACTTAATGAGCTCCTTGGTGAAATAGATGGACTATATAATTAGATTAGCTGTTTCACCATGGTCATTCTGGGCAACTCCTACTGTCTTAACACAGGCAAAATTTTCAGGGAACTGTATGAAGAACCTTCTAGTAAGGTGCATTTCCTTGCTAACTCCTTCAGTGCACTGAAGAAGCCATTTCAAGTCTTGTGGCCTAAAAACAGTGTTGTTCCAGTCTTCAGAAGAGTTCACTAATTAGTGTGACCAGTACAAGGTCTGATTTTAAAGGCTGCTTAGCTCTTTAGTAAAAATTCTACCAAAAGTGCCCACCATGACAAAGAGGCTCTCCAGCTGGTCAAAGCTGGCTGAACAAAATTGTGAGAAGCATTGAATTTAGGAATGGGAAGCGATGCTTTTCCACCTATTTAAAGCACTTGATCTTAGATGAATAGTGCTGTGTAAGTGAAGATGATAACAAGCTTAATCATTATTACTGGAGTTCTACTTGCATTAAATTAAGGATATTTCTTCCTATAAAGACAGAAATACATTTCTGTTCTCTTGTGAGATGTAGCTGCAGATAAAATTTCACCTTGTATGCAGTAATGAAATCTGTAGAATAGACTTTGAGAGCTGTATATGTAGTTCAGTTAGTCTTCCACGACAGTTTGCATAGAGAAGGTGTCATTGAAATATAGGGACTATAAGGGTCTCCTCTTTCTGATCTATATCTGACTGCATCACATATCTGTGCAACAGAATGGGTCTGAACTGGTTTTCCAGCTTTTCCATTTCATGGTTCTCAGCCATTAATGGTTTGCAGTTATTGTAGAAGACCCAGTTTATTACTGTCTACTCTAGTTTATGAAACGTAATTGAGATTTAATGGAAAAAAAAAAATGAGTTTATTTTATGGAGAAAACAGTTGATCAGCTCTACACTAACCATCGGATGTTCCTGAGACATGTATCTTTTAAAATTCTCTCATTATAAAAGTGAAGGATGGTTCTCATTCACTCAAATGTTTCAAGACATATTAGGCATTATTAATTCTAGATTAATCATGTTTGCCAAAAGATCAGAGAAATTACAAATCCCCCACTTGACTAGTTCAATGAGGCCCACGGGATTTTTTTTTAATTCACAGTTTTTACCAACCTGTACTTGACTGTGAGTTTTGCATCACTCTTTCTTAGCACATAAAATGCATTGTTATGTCATAAAGCAATGTACCTGTTACCACCCACCCTTATTACTTCTTCTTATTCAAAGAATGGATAACAGCAACACTCCCCAGACCATCACAAAAGTTTAAATAATCATCTTTTAAATGTCTTTCATCATTTTTTTAATGTTGATCAGATGTCTTTGCCTCATTTGAATTTAGGAGAATTCATTTGATCCTGCTTTTAGCAAGGTAGTTGGTACTTGTGATTTCTAGTAGAGGGGCTGAAATGAATAACTATTATGGACAATAAATTCCCCCAGTCATGCACGATTATTATCATGTAGCCACCTGAATGCAGTCTAAATTGCCTGTTTCCCAAACCTAAGAAATTTCCATGTCCCTTACCAATAATGTTTCTTTCATTTCTGGTCAGAACTACTTATTTTCCTGGTGCAGTTAATACCATCAATAATTCACTCGCCCCTGTAAATGTTGAATTCATTCCTTCTTACTTTGTACCTACTAAAACAGCACATATTATTATATAATGTAGAAAGTATAAGGTAAGCAAATAGAATCAAACTAATGACTTGTGAACACTTTCAGTGAATAAAGTGGCATTTATATATGAAACTCAAAAGACAGTCTGGGCTTTTGACCCACTGAGTATTGTCTTAATGATATTAACTATTGACTGACATCTTGCTAAAGAAAATGCATTTATCAGGGTAGGAGAATTTCATTAGAAGTACACATGGACCTATTTGCTTGTAATATAAGTGAAGGGTATATTTTAATCTCAGTTATAAAGCTCACAGTATATGTAATTCTTTATTGATCTCAGAGCAACACCACATCCGATACTTATATTATGGATGCAAATCATATATTTGGAAGAATGGAAGATACATGAAAAATCCTGGTATGGAGATTAGTTATAAACAAATAACTTCATCATGAAATATCCTTTGAGAACAAAGAATTAATCTTGTATGTGGAGAGAAATCAAAGACTATACTTGCTATTCTCATCCAGTCAAAAGGGACACAGACTTGGAGACACAGAGTGTTAAGGTCTTAAAACTAGGGGCAGCTAGTTTAAAAATGTGTGTGTGTGTATTGACTGCAGAAGGCTGCCTCTACTAGTAGTTGTGCAAGATTTTTCATTTTATTGGGTGTACTACTGTCAAGTGTTTTCAGTCATGTTTTCAGCTTCGGTATCGTCAACTGCATTAAGAGGGAAATTAAAACTAGAGAGGATCATAAATCCCAAGGCATTTGAATATTTCCTTTTTTTAGGCAGCATATAGTAATAACTCCAGATGACCACTGTTAGCATTAGTGACAATTTAGACTTTATGAAAGTTTAGACACTTGACTGTAGGCCTGGAGATACATTAAGCGTAGTGATTCATAGCATAGGGTAATATACTGCAGGGTTACAGTGTTTTAGCATTTCATATTCACAGAGAAATTAATGTAATATTCAGTCTCTAATATAGCCTGTATATTAACCTTCCTCTACTGAGCAGTAGAGGAGGGTTAAAAAAAAAATCCAGCATCATAGTATAGGACAATAAAAAAGAATGAGGTAAAATAGTTGAGCGCTGAAGGTATGTGATCTCACTATATTCATATAACAAAGGGTAACATCTGACTGTGTGTCACCATTTGAATAGGCAGGATATGCACCAAGTCTAGATAAGGTCTATAGCTAAATAATCACCTTAATTGCCAGCAGAATAGCGCATGATGCCAGAGAAAGAACAAGGCAAAGGTGCAAAACCTGTTCCGTGGCAGAATAGCTTCCATACCTACATTCCTGAAAATAGAAAGTGTATCTAGTAAGATGCAGTCAAAAATTAGGTAGGTAACCCAGAAAAAGAGATTGTGGATGCACATTGCTGAGCCAGCTGTGACATCAAAAAAGTACAGTCATGGTAGTGATTAAAGTAGCACCAGCAAAGAGCAAAGAGCAAAAGTTAGTAAATATATGCTTTTTGTTTAATTGTTTGTTTGTTTTTCTGGTAACAAGATTAGATCTTTTTTTTTTTTTTTTTTTTTTTTTTTTTTTTTCTGGCATACTCTTATATAGTATGGACAAAGCAATGTATTTTTCCACACTTTTTTATGCTTAAGGTGAGACTACAGTACAGTAATTAGACAGCACTGAAAATTATTACAGTGCTTCAGATAGATGTATAGCTACTTGGCTTGGAACAGTAGGTTACAGAGCCTTTTTCCTTCTGTATTAACTATCAAATAGAATAAAAGAACACAAGAATATCTATAAATTCCCTGAAAACCTAAGCTCTTATGAGTACTTTGACAACCTTAAAAGCCACCTTATAGCACAATGGCATCTGCACTTGAACATAGTCCTTCTGAAAGCAGAGAGTACAGGAGAAGCCTAACAATCCAAGTCAACCCCAGATTGTAACAAAATTGTTACAAAAACTGTAAAATAATGAACCATTTAATTAAAGCCCTTTACTTACAAGATAACTTGTCTCAGAGTTTCCTGATTTGTGTTGCAGGCTCTTGATCTGCTTTTTTTTCCCTCTCTCTCCATCTTTGTTTTCTTGAAGAGCTGTGTTTCTGCTGCCTGGATTATGTTAACTGTGTTTTAGTTAAGGTGTTGATCAGCGCTGTATGAAAGGGGGTTATAAAACTCTGGACTGTTTGCATCCGTCACTTTGGAACATGGCTTACAGAAGATTGCTACAGAGACAAATTACTCAGTGCTTATTGGGAGAATAGTTTCATCCTTGTATGTATTTTATTCCTACAACAGAAGCATCAGTTTGACTGAAAGAACAGAAAACAACATGCTGTGCTAGAAACTGTAATTCATATCACCTTTCATATTTCACATTTCATATCACCTCACAGAAGGAAACTAACCAAAGAAGTTATCTGGATTTGTTGAAGTAGTAGAGATGGGCATGGCAAAAATGTTGACTACCACAGCAGTAGACAGCACAAGCCAGGGAACTTGTAATGACACAGGTTTGGGTCTTTACTGAAGATACTGGAGTCTAGTTAGGCTGGAGGACATTAGACCCACTATTTTACCTGAAGAATTGTAGGCTGCAGCTTGTTTTTGATAGATGGTAGAACGGAAATGGATAGCAGAACACTAAAGCTCTTGTAAGTATTACACGACCTTTCCCAAACACTAACTGCTACTGTTGAACTTCACTCACAATGAACATTTTAGAACTTGAAAAGCTTTGAGGAGAAATCTAAGATTATGAATAACTGAGAAGACACCAAAAATGGGGGATCTGCCACACTTTAGAAATCTCCTGTTTTTCTGGACACGTGTTGACTGCCAACAATTACACTTTTATGGGCAACTGCCAAAGGAAGCAAACCACCAATAGCTCAACCAGCTGTCTTGTGAGACTACAGCTGTGCTAGAAACAGTGCCTGGAAACACTCCATGTCTCTCAAACCTGAGTCTGTTTTTGGTAGAGTGTGGGGCCAAGTTAGCCAATATTCTCCTAAAATATTTCCAGTTGTCCATCTGAAAGCTAGCAGAAGAAAGATTGTTTCCACCAGACAATTTGCATGCAGTCACCCTTCTGGGAGGATAAGAGGATTAAGAAATAAAGACACATGCAGTTCTATGCTGTCTCTGGGGTGTGCAAACACCAGTTCTATTAATTGGAAGATGATGAGCTGAAAGCATCCAGATTTAGTCTAAGAACAGACTCAGTCATCTCAAGTAAACAGTGTAACAAATAGGCCTCAACTGGAAAGAGACATATGAGAACTTGTTTGGTTTGGTTTGTAACAGTTGCTAGCATACTGTATGTAGAAATTCGTAGAATTCGAGATGATACTCAAAAAGTTACTGTGATAGCTCGAAAGGGGGTGTTGTAGCATTGGATTTTATACTGCAGTGAAGCATAGCATAACTTCTTGAAGATGTTCTTCCTATGCTATTATAATTCTATTTTTTGAACTTTCAGTACAGACTGGTTTCAACATATCTGTTTCACCACTGTAATTCCCCCAACAAAACTTAAGGAGCATGAATCTTTCTTGGACATTTCTCTCTCAGGACTTAGAACCAGCATATGTTTGCAGCAACAAATGGTAGCGTTGTCAAAATAAGGTATTGCTACAGCCAAACCCTGACTGCAATTTGCAAAGCCTTGATATGCACAGAATCATATTAAAAGATTAAGGTTCCTGTTTATTAATTCAAAGTATTATGATGGAAAGGGCGTATTCTCAACAGTAGCCCAGTTATCTGAAAGGAATTCCAGAAAGCTCGCAGTGGTCCATTGTGTTCAAAGTTCAAATCACAGTAGTAAAGCCAAGATTTTTTGAAAAAAATCAAATCAGCTTCCTGCCCAGGCAGCCCTGTAATGGTAGGGTCTCATTGCAAACTACTTGTATTCCTCTGTCTCACATCGCAGCTAATCTACTTCCATGAATGCAGTCCTCGTCAACCAGTAAGTATAGCCATTAATCCTCCATGATTTACACATCTGATCTTTTACTCTTATTTCAAACTTGTCTCAATTCACAGTTCCTAATACACAAATCACACTTTGTCCTATTTCCTAGGGAAAAAAAAAAAAAAAAAATGGAGAGAAATTAACCTCCTCGTAATACAAAAAGGAATGAGGAGGCTGAATCATACACAGTTCTCCAAAGGGAAGAAACAACAACAAATAAAAATAAAGCAAACAAAAATCTCTTCCTCCACACAAGCATTAATAAGGCTTCCAATCCACTAAGCAAAAAGCATCAGCAACAGCTTAGGTGGTATATATAATAATAACGTTGCTATAGCCAGAGATGACTGATCACAGAGGGGTCCAGGAAGAAGGCCGGACACTCCTCAAGAAGGAAGTCTGAAATGTGCAGGATCAGGCTGTCCCTGTGTGCCATAAGATGGGCTGGTGGGGAAGAAGAGGCTGAACAGGGAACATTTGCTGAGTGTCTGGGAGAAAAAGAGAGTTTATATCTGGTGGAAGAAGGGACAGGCAACTCAGGGAGAGTACAAGGAAGGTGCCCGCATATGCAGAGAGAAAATCAGAAAGCCAAAGTCCAGCACCATCTCAACCTGGCCACTATGGTTAAGGATAACAAAAACTGTTTTTATAAATATATTAATGACAAGAGGAGGGCCAAGGAGAACCTCCATCCTGTACTGGATGCAGGGTCAAACACAACTACTGAGTTAAGGAAAAGGCTGAGGTTCTTCAATGCCTTCTTTACATCTGCCTGTACTAGCCAGACCACTTATCCTCAGGGTACTCAGCCTCCCAAACTGGAAGTCTGGGACAAGGAGTAGAAGAAACCACCCACAGTTCAGGTGGAAACAGAGACCTGCTGCTCCATCTGGACTGTCACAAGTCCATGGGGCCAGATGGGATCCACCTGTGGGTGCTGAGGGAGTTGGCAGATGTGATTGGGCTATAGTGGGCAGCACTGGGCTAAAGAGGGCTGAACTAGGATAAACTAGGCTAAATGGGGCTGTGCTGGGCTACACTGGGCCAAACTGACCTGCAGTGGACTAAACTGGGCTCTGCTGGACTAAAATGGGCAGCACTGAGCTAAATGGGGCTGCACTGGGCTAAACTAGGCTAAATGGGGCTAAACTAGGCTATTGGGGCTGCATTGGGCTGCACTGGGCAACACTGGGCTAAATGGGGCTGCACTGGGCTCAACTGGATCTGTTATCCTGGGCTGCAGCGGGCTGTACTAGGCTAAGTTGGGCTTACTTGGCTCTGATATAATGGGCTGTACTGGGATAACCTAGACTAATTGGGGCTGCGCTGGGCTGCACGGGACCGAACTGGGCTGCACTGTTCTCAATTGACACCTAATGACAGGACAAGGGACAACAGGTGCAAGCCGGAACACATTAGCTTCTGCTTAAATATGAGACAAAACTTTTTTTCCATGAGGGTAACAGAGCACCAGAACAGGCTGCCCATGGGGGCTGTGGAGTCTCCTTCTCTGGAGCCTTTCAAAACCCACCTGGCCATGTTCCTGTGTGAAGTGATCTAGGTGTTCCTGCTCCGGCAGGGGGATTGGACTAGATGATCTTCAAGGTCCCTTCCAATCCCTCATATTTTGTGATTCTGTGATTGCTGGGATGCTCTCCTTCATCTATCAGCAATTACAGTCATCTGGAGAGGTCCTGGATGACTGGAGACTTGCTAGTGTGATGCCCGTCTATAAGAAGGGTCATAAGGATGAGCTGGAGAACTACAGGCCTGTTGGCCTGACCTCGGTGCCAGGGAAGGTGATGGAACAGGTCATCCTGAATACAGTCATGCAATGTATGCAGGATCACGGGGGGATCAGGCCCAGCCACCATGGGTTCATGAAAGGCAAGTCCTGCCAGACCAGCCTCACCTCCTTGTACGACCAGGTGACCCACCTGGTGTATGAGGGAAAGGCCATTATGTAGTCTGCCTAGACTTCAGCAAGGCCTTCGACATGTCTCCCACAGTTTTCTCCTGGAGAAGCTGGCAGCCCATGGCTTGGACAGGTACACTCTGCTGGGTTAAAAACTGGGCCCAGAGAGTACTGAACAGAGTGAAATCCAGCTGGTGACTGGTCACCAGTGGTGTTCCCCAGAGGTTGGTGTTGGGGCCCATCCTCTTTAATATCTTTATTGATCACTTGGGTGAAGAAATTGAGTGCACTCTCATTAAGTTTGCGATGACACAAAGCTGGGGGTAGTGTCGATCTGTGGGAGGGTAGGAAGGCCCTGCAGAGGGACCTGGACAGGTTGGGTCAATGGGCAGAGGCCAGTGGGATGAGGTTCAACATGGCTAAGTGCCGGGTCCTGCACTTTGGCCACAATAACCCCATGCAGCGCCACAGGCATGGGGCGAATGGCTGGAAAGCTGTGCAGAGGAAAAGGATCTGGGGATGTTGGTCAATTCTCACCTGAACATGATGAGCTGGCAGTGTGCCCAGGTCAATGGCAAAGAAGGCCAATGGCATCCTGGCTTGTATCAGAAATAATGTAGCCAGCAGGAAAAGGGAGGTGATTTTTCAACCCTAATAATTTTCCAATCCTAATGAATCTCCAGTTCTATAATTTCACACCTCAAGCATACCTGTTAGAAGGTTAGAAATAACCGTGGAATCAGCATGTCGCAACATTTACGTCCCACTTTGCACTATTCTAAACTCGTGGGAGGCAGGGTAGAGGAATGCTGTTTGGCTGCTTTTATACAACTCTTGAGAACTATGATATAGAAAGCTGCTATGGCCTCAGAAATAATTCTTGCCTTTATGGTCTTACTAGAACTTTATTCAGCTGTCTTATAAAAAGCATAAAGGCATAAATTCTTACCTTACTGGCCAAGGATGACACAGATGCCAGGAAATAAGATCACTTGAAAAGGGATATATTACAATTGCAGTTATGAGCTACTGTTGGAGTAGAGCTACACATCTGATAGAACAGAAAGTTCTTAAGAAAAAGCATGATTTCTATGTTTTATTATCAACCGTTGA